CCTGATGGTAACGCACAGCCATTGGAGGGCTTTAAGTATGATCAGATTTGACTACTAAAAGACTGCTCTGGCTTTTGTCTGGAGAGTAGACTGGGGGACAACAGGAGTGGAAGCGAGGAAACTGGTTAAGCCACTGTTAGTGCTACTCCAGGGGAGAGGTCATGGTGTCCTGATGTTTTGTCTGACTTTAATGAAAAGTGGGAACTTTATAGTTTACAGAAAATGGACGAGTAGAGACATAGCATGGTCAAGTTCAGTGAGTGATGTTTTGAATTTGAGGTTCCAGTGAAGCATGCAGGTAGTGGTGAATATCTGGTTTATAGTTAGATGTGCAGGTTCATAGCTTAGGAGTCTGAGCTGAGAATACAAATCTGGGAATCATCTGATAATTGAATCTGTGGAAATCAAATCTCATAAGAAGAGCATGAAAGCAAAGCAGATCCAGGCTGGAAATTAGAAGAATGTGGTATATAAGGGGTGTCTGTGAGGGAATGAACTTGAAGGAGATAGAAAGTGTATTCACAGAAGAAGAAGGGAAACCTCAGAGTGATGTCATGGAAGCCAAAGGAAGAATGGTTTTCAGGATAAGATTGTCTCAATTTCTGGAAACACATCATATGATATCACTAAAGAAAAAAGGTCCATTCAATTAGTAAGTAGGACAGTGTCTCAGAGATTGTGGTCAGAGCATGATCAGGGAGGAAGTCAGACTGCAGTGATTTAGGGAATAATTGGGAGGGAAGGGAAAAAAGATGGTGAGGTTTGGAAACTCCTTTTTAAGGAGGATGGTAGTGAGGAGAGAGGAGTAGACTGTCTCTAGACATACACTTTTGAATGGTAGAGGCTTAAAGAAGGGACAAATCAACAACTCAGGTCCCTGCATTCCTAGGGCTTTTCCATAGCCCTCAGTCCTTCATTTATTAATCCAACAAATATTTGAGCACCTTGTACTGTCAGAGATACTGCAGTGAGTAAAACAGACAAAAATCCCTTGAGGATTGTACATTCTAGAGAAAGAAACAGATATTAAATGATATGTGTCTGTGTAGTTGTGTGTGTGCATGTAATTGTGTGTGTGTGTGTGTGTATGTATGTGTATGTAAATGTATTTACTGGCAAGTACAAGGGGAAAAATAAAACAGAAGAGGGATAGGCAGTTTCAAAGTGGAGAGGTTTGGTATTTTAGATAGCAATGGGAAACTTTCAATGAGGGGTGGCTTTTAAGTGAAGGTCTGAAGGAGGTGTGAGGGGTGAGTCATATAGCTATCTGGGGGAAGAACATTCTAAGCAGAGAAAAGAATAAATGCAAAATTCCCTGAGGTAGGGAAGTGTGCTTGATGTTTTTGAAGACCAGTGAGGAGGATAGTCCTCATCTTTCTTGAGCTCACAGTGGCATTTGGCATTCAGCATTCTTTATTCCCCTCTGCTTTTGGAAGTATTCTTTGCCTTTGGAGACCGATATTCTGGACTGAATGACCTGGTCTGGTTTTGGCCTTCTCCATTTCTTTCACTGATATCTTCTCTTCTTGCCTTTTAATCTTTTTTCCCCTAGGAATCTTTCATTGGTCTCTCTTTTCCCCTGCACACACTGTGTATTGCCAAATTGCATTCTTAAACTGTGCTTCTGACTGCTTACCAGACATCACAACTTATAAATCACAAGGGGACCAAATATCTAACATGTTAGACGTCTGAATAGTTTATTGCCCTACCTCCCCCCTGCCCTTCCAAGGCCCTAATTCTTACCTCCCCTTATTTTCCCATATCCATTTATCACTAAACTACTCAAATTGTTGCTTAGTCATCTATGACTCTTATCCCTCACCCTCCACTTCTAGTCTCATTCTCTGTCCTCATGCTCCAGGCTTCAGCGACACCCCTGCCATGGTAAACATGCTTCCGACCTTGTGTCTTTGTACATGCTATACCTCACGTCTAGAATGTTCTTCTCACCTTTCAAGAGCAAGCTCAAATGTTACCTACTCTATGGGATGGTTTCTCCTCATCCCCTGTCAAGTTAATGATGTCCTCCATTGTGTACATAGCTCTTCTAAGCCCCACAGTGATGTAATGATGAGTATCTTGCTAGTCTGTAAGCTTTTTGAAGGCCACAGCTAAGTCTTATTAATCAGCACACCTAGTGTTTTCCTGTATTTCCCTGTATTGGGCACATAGCAAAGAGAGTAGACAGATGGATGAATTTGGACTAAAGGACACTGCATTAAACTGTGTTGAGTGTGAAGAGAAAGAATTAAAAGTTCCTAAGATACATATGCCTTCATCAGTAGTGTTCATATATTATATGCAGGATACTAGCATCTTTGATAGCAACTGGAATTGATGTTTTGTTTGCTTGAATCCTGAGGGCTTTCATTCTACTCAGGGTTAGAACAGTAGCAGACAGTCCTGTTGGCAGGCAGACATAGGCCCCACCTAATGAGTGCCTGTGGCAGGCTGAACTTCATTGTTGTCTAGGCTGAGAATAAAGAACAGCTGCTTTAGATCAAACTTAAAACTTTAATTACATAAATACAGCATTTATTGTAGGTGTTTAGTTTGAATAGCAGTGTTCTTTTCTGCTAGTTTTTGTTTCTAAATTTAGAAACCTTTTTTCTTGTTAAGGGTATTTTAATTACCGATACAAATTTATCATGAGATATGAGAGAAAAATTAAGCAAGTGAGATATTTAAAGAAGCTAAAAAAATGCTCTTCAGTTCACTTACAATATAGAGATTCTGGGATAGCAAAGAAGCTGAAAATTGAAGGGAAGGAGAAACGAGATTAAAAAAAATTATGCAGATCTCAAAAGGTTAAATGTAAAGGCTTTTATTAGACAATATAGAGATTCTGGGATAGCAAAGAAGCTGAAAATTGAAGGGAAGGAGAAACGAGATTTAAAAAAAATTATGCAGATCTCAAAAGGTTAAATGTAAAGGCTTTTATTAGTTTAGCAAAATGTATCTTCCTCATTTGGCAAGATGCTTTGAAAGGAATAATCAAATAAAAATAATGATTGAGTCTGTGAAATAAGTACTATTTTGACAGAAATTGTTTGTCTTGAGATTTTAATGTTGTTAAAAACAAATCTCCTTGTTCTCTTAATTTTCTTTTTTTTTAGACCATTGCCCCAATTTTATAAGGCTCTCGTGAATCTCTAAAGCATTTTAAGAATATTTATGATGTTTTAATGAGCATAGTTCACTTTCTTCAAGTAGCTATGCAGGACGAGTGGTCATTTATACTAGTTATAGAAAAGAATTGATCACTGTTCTATTCATGTTATAGTGTTGTTAGTTCATTTTGACACATGGAGAAATATTGTGGCTGGAAATACGACAAATTAAGTGGGGTAGTTAAAAGTGGGGGAAAAAAGTATAACTTTTATATAAATAAACATTTTCAAAACATGGACTAGCATAGCTTCTTCTGCCAAACTGAGAGGCCATTTATGCTGTTTGCGAGGAGAGGGTGCAAAGTAACTTACAGTGCGGGCTTTTAGAATGAGCAGAAGCTTGGATGGGTGAGGTGGAGACAAGTGGAATCAAATTGCAGTTGAAACCCATGAAAGGTGAGACTTGTAGTGACTCTAGAAGGCTGGTGATACTCTAAATGTAGAGGCTCACGAGATAAATTGAAGTTCTAACACACAGAAAAATGCTGTGTGTTTATGCCCTTTGACACCTAAGGTGGGATATTGTTTCTTTGCAGTCAATTTTCTGGGTAAATAGTTTCTGAACATTTTCTCAACCTTTCATATGCTCAATTTTATTACTGTTTAGTGGAGTACTCCTTTAAACTGTTTTGAACTTGGACGAAAACATGGAATAAGGTGAACAAATGATATTACTTAATTATAATGCTCTTGCCTTCTTGAAGATTAGCTTCTTACAAAATTTTGTTATGTGAACCTAAAGTGCCCCAAGGTGGTTTTGCCTTGGTGTTCTGATCTTTTTCTGACTCACCCACTTGAGCTTTCCTTTTATAAGGGCTAGTGAGGATAACAGGTGACAGATACTGTCGGACATGCATTCCTCTTGCAAGTATGTGAGCGAGCATGTTTGGAAAGCAGGGCTAGTTGACACATTGGCCTAAAGCTTTTTGGAATCTAGGAAGAGTGTGAGGTGGAATGCCAGCATGCTCTTTGATACAGCAGCTCAATTTTTCCTCACACAGAGTGCACATGAATGTAAGTTTGCTTTTCAGTATCTTAATTCTGAGCAGGCAAAATGCACTTCTGGAAGTGTTTAATGTCTACAAGAATGCCTGGTGCTGTCCTTGTTTTGCATCATGTAAAACATGAAAGGGTCACAGTGGGCTTATTCTCTGAATTGAAGCACTATGTTACTCTCTTTCTTCATTTTCTTGAGAAACAGTTTTACATAATGTGACAGATACATGGGTTAATGCAATGCTGAAATGATGAAGTCTATTTAGGTGTTATTGTCTAAAGTACAAGTATTTGAAGTACTCTCCATTAGCTCTATAATAATAAAGGCTGAATTTAAATACACATGGAGATTTGCCATTATCTCTTTACCTTTCTCTATACTTACCTCTCACTCTTCTAATTTTTGTACATTAACCTCCAGTCATGTTAAACTCCCTTAGAAACTGACACCTCACTAAACATGAAACATACACGTTCATGTGTGTGTGCTATCACAGTGTCACTTTTTAGGTCTCCTTCAGCAGGTGCACTTCCTCTGCATCCCTGTGGTTACCTCCTCTGCTCTCACCTTCACCAAATCTGGGCTCCCACTCTGTAGCTCTGGGTTCCCCTGTGTGCTGTACTTCTCCCTTCACAACACTTACTGTGTGGCTTTGTTAAAGTTGTGCTGAGTGTGCTCTTCAGTAGAGTGAATTGAAACAGAAGCCATCAGTCTTATTCACAAATGTATTCCTGGTGTCTAGCACAGAGTCTGTCATGTAATAGCTTATCTGTCAATCTATTTTAGTTTTTAAATGATAATTCTTACTATTCTCTATTTTGTTTTCAAAGATTCCCCAGATTGAGGATAAAAGGAACCATGCTGAGAAGCCAATCACTCTTTCAAGGCAGGAAGATCCCAAAAAGCCAAATGACCTTTCGAGTTCCACTTCAGATGCCAAAATAGGAGAAAGTGATAGACAGCCAAAAGAAAGCTTTTTTCAGTTTCTTGGTAACTTATTCAGTATCTCAGGAAAATCATCTCTTGGTGAAGCTAAGCAAACTTCTGTCAAAGATGAACGTGATAAAACTGAGAAGGATTTACAGAATCCTGTTGACCTTCATGAGAAAGGGATCAAAAGGGAGGGTGGCATTTTCAGTGGCTCCCTGGGAACCCAAGCACTTGCACCAGAAGAAAAAGAGTCCAACTCAGCTGAACTCTCAGATGCTTTTTCTGTGGGTACAACACAAGACAGTGAACAAGAAACCAGAGATTTGCTAAAGTAAGTTTAAAATTTAATAGAATCCAAAATTTGAGCTTTCGGACCTAACTTTTGAGCCTAAATTCCAATCCTATTAATTGAGGGGATTTGAAAAAGTATTCTATAATGTCTATATTAGGAGGGAAAAAAAATTGTATGATTCTGTGTACCATATAGGTAATCTGGGGCCTTTTGAGCTATTTTAGGGGGTGGTACTAATACCTTTTAGGTACTAAATTTGTTGGAGAACAAGATTTATTTCTAACTTAAGACTTCCTTGAATGGGAGTGTTTGCTGTTGTCTGAATTCCTCCTTTATTAGGAACAGCTATATGTTCAATATGTGCATTTTTGGAACCAAAATGGTGCTATGGTTTGTATTCTATCAATATTTTTTCTTCGTGGAATTTAATTAAAGAGGTTAAGAAAAGCAATTAAATTGACTCTATTTATGAAACTAGCTTTATGAACCTTTTACACAACTCAAAGAAACTAAAATCTCATGTGAATTTAAGGAGCATTTCACTACCCTTTATTTCATTCTTTGATTGACAGACTCAATTGAGCTAGAAGGAATATTTTCTACCAAAGAAATATTTATGTGTGTTGAGTTCATTAGACATCTCATGTAACATAAGAGTGTTCATTCATAAATAATAAGGTTCTGTTTTATTAATTTTAATTTTACTTCTACCTGAGAACTTATGTGAAGAGGTCATCAATAATACTGTAGTCAAATATAGATGATAACTTATAGTTATGAAGTACTCTGTAGTTTCAAAGGTCTTCCTGTGGGTGCTGTTTATTCTTCATAGCAAGCCTGTAATATGTAGGCCCAGATACATCTTACGGTTGTGAGAACTGAGACCGAAATAGATTAGAGTTTGCCTATCAAGAGTGATGTGGTGGAGCTTGCTCTACCAGACGTTAAAATGTACTGATAAAGCTACGGTATTTAAAACAGTGTCATACTGAAGTAATATCTTCTAGACATTTAAATGGAACAAAATAGACTGTCTGAAAAATGTGATTTGAACATTTGAATGTGATGGCATTGTGTACTCTTGTAGAAAGGAGGAATTGGGGGCCGGCCCGGTGGCGCACTGCTACAGTGCGCCGCTTGGGAGCGTGGTGGCGCTCCCGCCAAGGGTTCGGATCCCACATACAGACCGGTTCCCGCTCACTGGCTGAGCGAGGTGCGGGTGTGAAATGGAGGGTTGCGATCCCGTTGCCGGTCCCGGTCTGGTACGGGCGCAACACTGAGGGTTGCAATCCGTTGCCGGACATGAAAAAAGACAAAAAGGGAAAAAAAAAAAAAAAAGAAAGGAGGAATTGGGAAAACTGGTAGAAAAAATAAAAGGCAGATACTTATCTCATTTTTATTTCAAAATAAATTGAGAGTAACTGTTAAAAAACAAAAAAATTAAATGCAGCTATATGAATTATTTTGGTGAGAAATGACTTTCTAAGCATAATAGCAATGGAAGGTATCGGGAAAGAGATGGTAGATTAGATTACTCCCAATTTGCAAACTCCTTTATGTCAAATAACATTAGACAATGATAAATTCAAATGGAAAATGGGAAATTATGTGCAAAAAATATGACAATATGACAGATAAACAATTTAGACACTAACTAACCAATAGGAAAAAAGGCCAAAAACATAAACAAATCATTCAAATAAAAGAAATACAAACTAATAAGTGAAAAAAGTTTTTTACTAGCAATCAAGGAAATACTAACTAAAGTGAGACAACTTTTTTCTTCTATTAAATTGATAACAGTAATAATAAATGACAATATCCTGAGTGAGTCAGAGTTGATAAGGCTGACACTCATGTACACTGCTTGGAGTGGGGGTGTAATTTGGTAGCATGTTTCAGGGATTCAGCTGGCAGTATGTGTCAAGAACCTTAAAGTTTGTAGATTATTTCTGATGATGTACAAGTGTGTTTATTGAAACATTATTTATAGGAGCATGTATTTGGAAATAAATATCCAACAGCAGAAGTGGCTAAATTGTGGTGCTTCTGTAATATAGAATTGTCTAAAGCATTGCTATTGAAAGTATGGTCCTTGGAGCAGCAGTGTTACCATTACCTAGGAACTCATTAGAAATACAGATTATCTGATTCAGACCCACTGAATGAGAATCTGGGAGTAGGGCCCAGCACTCTTCTAACAACTTCTCTGGGTGACATTTTTGCATGCTTACATTTGAAACCCAGTGTTATAAAACAACTTAAAATGATGGTGGTCTTGAGGCTGTTATCTGAAAATTGGGTAGAATAGAAAGATTGTGTTTTTTCTCCTTTGGTTTTGATTAATTTGGTTATGTTTATTTCTTTGGTACTGGACAACAGAAAATGAAAAAGGACACTGTACCTCTTATTTCTCATTAGTAAAGCCCTCCTTGTTAGTAGAATAATTGTTTAAGGCAATTCTCCAGAACCACTTCAGCAAAGAAAGGTGATTCTTGATTTAGGAAGAAAGGAAAACACCACTGGCCTTCCACTTTGAGATACAGGCTTCCTCCAGGCCTAGTTTTGGAAATTCAACAGATTATCAGGCATAGAATTACAGTTTCAGTACTTTAATGTTGACAGTTGTCAGTTTGTTAAAAAATTATTATTTAAAATTCGAATACCATTTTGGTAATATTTTATTTTGACAGTATGATTAAGGACTGCTCACAACTGATTTTAGATGTTATTTAAATAATATGTCTGAATAGTTATTTACTAATAATTTTGAGAATCTGCATTCTAAGTATTAAGGCTGTTTTGGTTCTATGATATAAATTTAAAGCAAGGATATATTTAATTTTTTTGATTCAGATCATGAGAATATTTTAAATATAAAATACTATTTAAAATGAAGAACCTATACTTTTGAAATTACTAGATTTCAGTGTCACATATAAAAGTTTAATTTTATTGGTTAATGGACACAAATAATGAGTATGTTTTGTATTGATAAATATGCTAATTACACTGTTTTGATCATCACATACTGTACACAACACTGGTAGTCAATTCTGTACCCCAGAAATATGTATAATCAATTATGTTTCAATTAAAAAAATTTAAAAAAACATTTTTTCATGTAGGGAGGAGTGACTTAAGTGAAGGTCTTGCATTGCTTTTCTCATGAATAAATACCCCTACTTTTTTGTCTCTGTTAGTCTCGATAATCAGGATGTATTGAATGAAAATGGTTAATGGCTTAATTCAGACAAGTTAATAAAATAACCTGTGCTGTAAAACACAGCCCATTACTATATTACCAAATATATTTTTTGTGTTTACCATTAATACAGTTTTCAAAATCTAGACAAGCTATTATCTATTATTTGAAGTGAATTTTAAAAGATCCTCACCCAAAGGCATTGTAAATGAGTTTATCTTCAGTTAATTACGAAAATAATAATAAAGAGCTTTGTCATTGTTTTTATATACAGTCGCAAATTCATTGCAAATTTTATTTTTAATATCCAGAAAACCTTTAAGAAAACCCATTTGGTAACAATTTTTTTACTGTTTTCTTTATGTTAACTCATGGTTATGGTATAATTTATAGAGGAAGCTAGTTTGTTGGGTTAAATTTTTAAAAAATATTCTGTTATAATTCATATATTTTCACAGGTTCATATCCATCATAATGAGAGGCTCTACTGTCAAAGCTCTCTTGTGACTTTCTTTTTTTTAATTTGCTGGTTTTGCATCTTTTTTTCCCCATAGAAAAAAGCCTTCCCTGTCGTGAGAGAAGATATTCTTAACTATGTAATTTGAAAGGAAACATATCTTATTGCTGAAAAAGTAGCTTAGTCATATTTTCCTAAAAGTTAATTAGATGCTTTTGCTATTAAACTAGTTATTTTCAGGCCGCTATTATAGGATATTATTGAAGAGTGACACAAGTCTTTGGTTGACCTTTGTAGTATCAAGTGTATTAAATTTATCCAGAGTAGAGTCAGCCATGTGTAGTACTTACAGGCTTGATAAACTTTCACATGATGAACATGATGAGTAGTTATGTTTTGGGCTGAAATCTATAAAACCTTTTCAGATATAACCTATGCCTTTTTCCTTCAGTGTTGACATTTCTAGATATTTTGTTTTTTTCTTACTATTGTTTGGATTACACACCTTTGGTATATAGGATAAGCTATAGATGCCATGTATAATTACATAATACATGATATTACTGTTCTTTTTTCTTTGTTCAGCTGTGAAAGTATACCTTTTTAATTTTTCATCTTCAGCTTATTTTTAAAATTATATGGCATTGGAATTTCTGTTTACTAGGGAAAAATTAAAGGACAATTTTATATTCTTAATATTATCCAATTATGGTGACTCAACTGTAACCTATGAAAGAATGATGTAGAAAATAGACAATGTTGGTATGATTAACCTTTGAAAAAGTGGGAGTATAGCTCGTCAGTACCTGAAGGGACTAATTATAATACTTGAAGCTAAGCTTGCAGCTTTGATGTTCAATGCTTTAAACATGATAGTTTAATTGTTTAGTATAAAGAATGCATATTTTAATTATAAGTATGTAACATTTCCATCCCAGGTGCTACAGGACATTATCTAGTTAAAAATTTAAACTAGTCCATTATAAATCAATTTAATCATTTTAGTAGAAAATACTCAGAAAGCCCTAAAAAATTTAGTTTGGGGGTCTTTCCCCAAGGACCCCTAAACTGCCAAAAGGCATTATTATAGTGAGTTGAAATTTAGTGGACTTTTCTCTGTGATTTATTTGATTAGAAGTCCTTTTAGACCAAAATTTGCATTGATGCAGGATAAAATGCTTTGAGGTGTGGTTAGGAGAGAGTTAGTAGTAAGAGGACCTGAATAAAATCTTGATCCTTATCTCCTTTTTCCTATTTCTTTTGAAATCATGAATATTTCTTTGGGTATTTCTTTCTTAAGAATTATTTTGGTGATCTTTTGGAAAAAAAAATTGCCGTCTGTTCACGATAGATTTTAGGTCTTAAACATTTAAACTTTGATAGAAAAAAACTTCTTGTAATTATTTCAGACTTCTGGATATGTTCCTCTGAAAGGCTATTGTATTTTCTGAATAATTTATGTATTTTGATATGGGATTTCACCAATAACATTAATTTACCTACATGTGTTTTTCTTTTCTTGCATATTTTCATAGATGGGTTGCCTTATCCAACTTATGTCTTTGTTCATGTCTTTGATCTAGCCTAAAACTCAGGTAGCAGCTAAAACTACTTTTTCAAAGGAAAGTTTTTCTCTCCTCATCTCCTTTAGCTGCATAGTAAAAATAAATGAATATAGTGAACACAATTGTTTACAGTAGTGGTATATTAGGATTTTAGGGGCCATCAATTATATAGATTGAAATAAATTATTTCAGCTAACATTCAAGAAGTATGTAAAAAGCACAATTGGTGAAGTTTTTATATGTCAAAGGAGTTTTACTTTGTTTTACCATTTAAACAAATCTAACATTCTTAATGTGACTGCTTTAAAGTTGGGTATAAAAATGTATTGTTTTAGATATTAGAATACTGATAATGGGATTTCTTATTCATATGGATTCCCGAGTAATGTTTTGGTTAATGATATTTAATCTGAAAAAATCAAGTTAAATACACATCAGATTTTTCTACCATACGTTTTCATAGTGAGGACACTAAAATGTAACTAGAATTCAGAATGTAAAACACTTTGATATCACCTCTCAGAATTAATTCATTAGTTTGAAATAGATTACTTAGCATTTAGTAGCATTTTTTACTTATTTATTAAGATACAAAAAAGTATTAAACATATACGATTTGCCAAATCTTGTGTGGGTACTTAGAAATACAAAGATGATTAAGATGCAATGCCTTTCCTCAAATAGCCACCAGACTAGCGAGGAAAAAAAATAAACACATAGATCTTTATAATTTAATGTGGCAGATGCTGTGTTCTGTGCACCCACAGATCAGAGACTACCTGTCCATCTGAGGAGTAGAGGGATAGGTTTGTGATGGAGATGATTTGTGAGCTGAGTCTTAGAGGAAGTGAGAGTTTCTCTCTGGTGCTGAAGAGAAAGAACAGAGAGTGGTGTGTGTAAAGGGCTGCAAGGCAGAATGGTGTGGCGCGAGAACTCCCAGAGGTAGGTTCTTCAAAGGAAGTTGGATGCTGAGAGCATCAGGAATTTTATGCTGGTTCACTCCTTTTTCCAGAAATCCTTTTTGATGTCTGCATTTACCCAACCAGTTTAATACTTACTACTCTAAATGAATATTTGAAGAACTTAACACAAGAAAGAATTCTAAGGGCAATTCTGTCATTTATTCAGTTTTCAGATATATCTGAGCACTTACTGTGGGCTAGACATCTTGACAGGTGTTTTCCTTTAAAACTTCTTCAACTTTTGTGCTAAAAGTTGCTGTTCAAATTCACATCTAAAAGTAAAGGAATAGAAGCTCACTACGATTCTCTGATGTGGTGGAGAAATCACAGTGAGGTATCCATAAACTTGTGGTACCGATATGAGGCATAAAGTCAGTGTGGTTGCTTAGAGTCAGATGTTCCTTTGAGATTAGAACTAGAGCCAAAGCCTTGGACTTGTCAGCCACGTTTTCTTCATTAACCACAGTCAGGGATGTGTATGTAGTCATGTAAAGGGGTACAGTTCTAAGGAGCTCAGGCATTCTTCATGCTGCCTTGACATTCATGTGGTGCTTGTCAAATCTTTATTATTATTATTTTTAATAAAGATAAGTTTTAAAGCATTCTAGGATTTCTTCCCCAAATTAGTGCATATTAAGAGAAGTGGTGTTTGAAAAGATATACTTCACCACAACCCCTGGGATTACTGTTAAGTGTTATTAATTATATTTCCTGATACTCTTATGCTGTTTTCTTTTATAGACAAATTGATGGTAAACCAGAGAGGCCTTCAGTAACATATGCAACATATCGAGGCCCCAGACAAATTAGGAAATATTTAAAGCAACAGACCACATTGGAAACCGTGAAACCCTTGGAAAGAGAAAATGAAAGTTCTGACTCCAGTATAAATACACACACTAGCCCTGGAAGTGAGGTTGAGGCTGGGATAGTGCCATCCTTGTCTTCAGCTAGCACAGGCACATCTGTGAAAGGATATTTGCTTGGAGGCCCATTAGAAGACTCTGACTGTAGCGAAATAAATCTCAACACACAAAGCCATATGACAAATGAACTAGAACTGCAGAATATTGCTTCTTCTAAAGATGTTTTAAATAAAAATGGTCTTGGGGGACCTGAGAGAAGTAGGTCATCCCCTTTTTCTGTGACTAACTCCAACTACACTGTTGGAGAATCTGACTCACAGCACCATTTAAGTTGTGTACCAGTTTCTCAGACTGACAGAAACTTGGTATGTTCAGCATTGTTTACAGGAAACAGCAGTAGCAAAGTCCCTTGCAGTCCAGTTTTTCAGAGGATAACTACAACAGAAAATACAATAAAAGAAAACTGTTCTGTGATTAGTGATGAAACATTGGTGCAAAAACAGGAGCATGTTGAGCCTCAGAACCCTCCTCTTTCTGATTTCTCTTGTAAATCTGATGGGAGGGACACTGCCAAACAGGAAAGTACAAATTTGCCAAGTCCAAAGAAATCAATGAGGCATGAAGATCTGCAGTTGCCTGAGAGTAAGTGTTCTGACAAGCAAACCATAGATAACTCATCAAAACAGGCTGCCAATCACACCACTACCAGTGCTCTTCAGAGACATGCTGTGACAGACACAGAACTTGTAGATGAAGGAAAGAGGTTGTCTGCCCAAGACTTACAGAAAAATTTGGCTGATACAGAAATTAGGCAAGAAATAGAAAGTGCCTCAGCTGGTGAACACTCAACTTCAAGTCATGTAAAAGCTGTAGAACATAGGATTGAGTCATTACCTAAAGATACTGACCGATTATTTGAAACAGAAGCCACAAAGCTTGATTTTAGGCCACATGACAAAACTCCTCACATTATAAGACTAAATCAAAAGGACCCTGTCTCTGTAAAATACATCAGTGAATCAGCAGTTGTAGCATGCTTAGAAAATAAAATAACACCTGAATTGAATTTGGAACTTAATAAAAATCACATTTTAGAATCTCCTCTTGACTCTGAGAGTCCTCATCAAGCCAAAGTAGCACTTGATGCTAATGCATCTCTTACCCTTGACTATAAAAAATCAAATTTCAATACTTCACTTCCTACCGTTGTTTGTGGAGTTGACATGCTGAGTAAGTTGGATATTCCTGTTTTAAAGAATGAGGGTTCTTCTGTCCTCACTGAAACCGGGGATGTCAATACTGTTAGTGTTTCCTGTCAGCCTAGCAAGTGTCAAGAAGAAAATGTGGCAAATCGCATTGCGGCTGCAGACAGGAAGAGTCCTCCTCCTTCCCATCACCTTGAGCACGCATCTGCACTTCTTAAATACAAGGAAGTTCTTCCTGATAGTGAAAACTGCCAGGTTCCTCTAGGTCCTGAAGCCAGTAGCACTCATTTAGCTGGGGTGGACCCATTCACTTTTGAGTCTAGAAGCTTCTCTAAGGCTCATAGTTTTTCATCTCAAGACCCTAATAAAGCAGAGTTAATGCCTTCAAGCAATAAAAGAAGTAAGAGCATGGTAGAGAAGTCTCATTCTCTTTCCTTGGATACCAAGACTGATAAAATTGCAAAAATTTTATCAAAAGCTGAAGTTGATGGTCCGAACAATGTTCCTGTTGAGTCACATTCTGAAAAAGGAAAAACCATAGCCTTGTCCAAGATATCTGTTTCCAAAACAGAGCCCAGAGACATTTCTCAGGATAAAATTACTTCTTCTGCATTCAAAATTATAGGTGAGCCAACAAAGCCTATTTTAAAAGAATTAACTTTTCTAGAGATTGAACAGGACAGAAGTTTTCAGTTGATGGATCATAAGGAGGTTAAAGAGAAGTGTTCACATGCTGCCTTTAAAGAGAATTGTCAAGCTGAGGTTTCTTCTTCTGACTCCATATATCAAGGTATACAAGAAACAAAGGTAGATGTAGGCTCTCCTTCTGCCCTTCTTGAAAGTAATATAACTGGGATTTTACCACCTGATCATGATGAGAACGTTACTGGGAAGGTGGCACAGAATTGTGGCACTAACTCTTGTATGATTCATCAAGCTTTGGATATTTATGGGACAAAAAAGGTTTCTGGTCTTTCAGAAATGGCAAAACTCAGTTTAAGTAATATTTTCCCCAAATTCCAAGATGGCACAAAAGTAAATTCACCATTTCTGGGTTCTGATATCAGTTTGGAAAAAAATGCTTTTACATCTGAGGATTCACACTTTCTTAATGTACCTTTTGTGTTGAGATCAGAAAACAAAACTTTATCTCATAGAAAGAAAGAGAACACTCATTTTCTAAGTGGTAGCATTAATAGTGTGTCTTCTAGTCACTCTGAAGAAGTTAGCGTGGTTGTAAATTCACATAGTCCTCCAAATAGTTTTGATTCTATAAAAGTTACCAAAGATCTCACACATGAAGGTGCCTCCTTAGCTAACCAGCTGTACCCTGGTAGCCCTTATTTGGAATTTGAAACACCTATCACAATAGGGGCAGAAGTGACCCAATTTAAGGAACATTTTGGGATTCATACTGGGAAAGTATCTCTTGATTTTCCAACCACTGCCCAATTTGACAGTCCCTCAGAGGCAGAGACCGGAGCAGTTGCTGGGGCTCTGGCGTCAGTTAACAGCTCAAGCCACCAGTGTTCTGAAGCATCTGCTGAGCACATAGAAGCAAGGAGAAGAGCACATGACCAACTTTTGAACCTCAAAAGTGGTTTACTCGAAAAGGTTGATACATTGGTTGAGAATTTTAATTCTGTCAGGGAAGAACTAAAATCCAAACACAAAGTCAGTACCTGCCAGAAGCATATAGCTGTTGGTGGTGTAATGAATCCAGCTACCCTGAAAGAAGACATCCCTGAGAAAAACCCATCAGAAGTGACACTAACAGGGATCCAAGTGTCAGAGTGTTTGGAAGAGCAGGGCATTGGAAACATGTCAGAAGTCACAGAAGAAGAGAAGACTTGTGTTTCACCTCCAGTTGGTGAGAAGAGTCTCCTTTTTGATTCTGATAGAATGAATGTACCTTGTTTGTTAGAAGATCAAGCTAGGAAATTAGTCAATGAGATTATTTATTCAGCCCAAGAAAATTTGACAATTGATGCTTTTGAAGATACTGAGGATACCTGGGAATCTGAACTTCAGGCTAATACTTCAAAAATTCTGAACAGTGGTAGTGTTAAGCCACATGAAATAGTTAGGGGGTTATCAGAGCAGGCAGTAAATCAAAGTACACATGAAATTAGTGAAAATAAGTTATCAAGTAGATTTTTCTCTTTGGGTAACTTAGTTAGTGGCACAGAATCAATTAAAGGAAAAGAAATTGTTGTCTACCAAAAATCCCCATTTTCTGGAACTGGAGCTGGACAATCTGATAGTGTCAATTTGCAAGAGTCAGATACTGTTGTACTAGCTGAAGACATGTCCCAGAAAGGGTTAGATGATGGGGTAAAAACACATTTATTTCTCAATGAGGACTGTAAAGAGACAACAGAAATAGAGCATATGGAGAATAACAAAACTGGGACAGAGAATTCAAGAACTCTTGTATTAAATTTCAAATGGCCTCCATTTGCGAATGATGACATCCATGCACCTGGTACATCCAAAAGCAGTTTGTCTGATAGTCTTGTGTGTATATCTGAAAAAAGCTTGCCGGGACATAGTAAAAGCACACCCCATGCAATGTCAGAGTTAGGGAAAGTACACAAAAAGGATAATGAAGTAAATATAGGAAAAGTTGAGGTTATACCTTCCATGTTAGAAATGGGAAAAGCAAACAAAAAGGATGCCGAATTGAATGTTATGAAATGTGAGGCAGCTCATCCTATGTTAGAAATGGGAAGAGCACATAAGAAAGATACTGATTTGAATATCACAAAAACTGAGCCATGTGCTGATGTCTTTAAAATGGGAGAATTATTCCAAGTGGATGCTGAGAAATACGTTGAAAATGAGGGATTACCCATCATTTTAGGAATGGAAAAAGCTTATAAGATAAGTGATACTGAAAAGGATATTGGCAAAACTGAGGTGGTGCATGTTAGGTCAGAAGTGAAAAATATCTGCCAAAAGGATGCTGAAGGGGATATTGCAGAAACCAAGGTGACACCTGTTACAATAGAAATGGGAAATATTTACCAAAAGCATGCTGAAGGAGATGTTGGCAAGACTGGGGTGACATCTGTTATGTCAGAAGTAGAAAATATCTATCAAAAAGATGGTGAGGGGATTACTGAAAAAGCTGAAGTGATACCGGTTGCATTAGAAATGGAAGATATTTACCAAAAGGAAGAGGAAGGAGATATTGCAAAGACTGAAGTGATACCTATTAGGTTAGAAATTGAAAATATTTGCCCAAAGGATGCTGGAAGAGATAGTGGCAAAACTGAGGTGATGCCTGTTATATTAGAAGTAGTAAATATTTACCAAAAAGGTGCTCAAGGGATTACTGGAAAGACTGAGATGCCTATGTTGCAAGTGGAAACTGCTTGCCAAAAGGATGCTGAAGAGGTTATTAGGAATGCTGAAATGGTACCTTTTGTGTTAGAAGTGAAAGCACACAAGAAGGTAGCACCTGCCTCCTTAGAAATGGAAAAAGCATGCCAGAGTGATGCTAAAGAGAATATTGGAACGATTGCATCCATGTCCTCTGTGAAAATAATGGAAAGAGCATCCCCAGATGATTCTGATGGGAATATCGGGAAGCATGAAGTGTTATCTGCGGTGGTAGACGTTGAGCAAACATATGGGACAGGAATGGAATTGACCATTATGCAAGTGGATGCCATGCTTCCTGTATTTAAAACTGAAAAAGCACCCCAAGAGTCTGCTGAAGGGAGTGTTGAAGAAATGGAGGAAGAGCCCACTGAAATAAAGGAAGGCTTGATAGCATATAACAATAGACTTGACTTACATTTCAGGGGATATCAATCACCTACATTAAGTAAGGATTATGAGGGCTATCCAGCATTAGTAATGCCAGATTTTCAACCTGAGGATACCATAGTAAGTGTAGACAAAAGAATGTCCGTTAGTGCAGTATACAACAGAAGGAGAGATCTAGATTATAGCAATGAAAAAGAAGAATCTAATTTAGCCTTCGTTTCTCAGGAGGAACAAGAACATTCTTCCTTTACTATATTATATGAAGAGCCCCTTCAAGACGAGGACAAGTATGCTTCAGCAGAAGTAAGAACACAGCCTGTCTTGTTTCCTGACGTGTCCCCTGACAGCATGCCTGTTACAGCATGTGAAAGGTCTGAGAGTAGAACTGACCTTGTTCATCATTTTGAAAAAGATACCAAACTAGGTGAGCCATTTGATAGTGATGGTTCAGAAATGTTCTTATCAGTGGAGGCCAAAAGGTACAAAGTTTATCCTTTAGCTTTGTCTCCCATTTATGAGGATGACAGCTCACAGGAGGACATTCTATCCAGTGAGGTCTCACCTGGTCACCGTGGCTCCACAAAATCAAGAGAGAGTGAAAACCAGTCCTCTTCTGTTTTATCACTTCTCCAGTCAGTATCAGAGCGTCTGAAGATGAATTTTGATGAAGATGACAGACAGGGATCAGAGGAGGAAGTAGAGGAGGAAGCAGCAGCATTGCGCAAGAGAGATCTGAGAGCTCGAAGGAGGGAGCATGTTACCTTCCAGTTGCCAGATTCTTCCATCACATTTTACCCTGATGATGACCAGGAAAGCACTGGAATTTCTAAGAATTCATGTGTAATGTCAAATGAAGCTACTACCTCCAATCCGCAAATTGGTCTGTGGCCAGAAAAGGCCACATTTCTGCAAAAATCTGACCTTACTTCTAAACTACATTCTTCTTTAAAGAGTGCATATCATCAGTATTTGCAGACTTCCAAAACTCACTCAGAAAAAGGAGCCAGATTTGGTGGGATTTTCCAGGAGCCAGTGTCAAGATATTTCCGTGTTCAAGACAAATCAGACAGATTGAGCCCATTCATAGAGGTGAGTTATTTTAATTACTAACTATTGAAGTAAAGCTTTGGGTCATTATCTGAACTCTTATTAAGAAAGACAGTGTTCTGAGGTTGTATAAAGTTTATTTTTAAAAAAATTCAGAGATTTATTCTTTGGTTGAAGTGTATTATATCTCATGTACTTTAGCTGGACTGTTGCACTGAGAAAACAAAATCGCTTAGTCAGAATTTAAAAGGCATAATAGAGAAGCAAGTTATTTTACAGTCCTTTGCTAATATTTTTCAAGCTAAATTAAGTGACAACATTCTGAATTTCTCAAGGTACTGTCTGTGGGAAGATTGTCACTTTCCATTTAGCTTATGTATCTCATGGGTAAAATTTTTAAGTATTTGCTTGGTGACAGTTTCTCATTGTAGTTGTTCATGTTGTTTATACGAAGAAGGGCGGCAAACAGTCTAATTCAAAGGAAAAGCTGAAAACCTTATAGCTGGAATATGTTTTAAAATTCAGTTAAATTTTTTTATTTAGAAATATTTTGATGTCTGAGATAGAGTATTCATTTCAATGAATATTCATATGGGACTTTCCTTTCTGGCATTCCCAAGATCATGGAACTTTCTTGAGGATTTCCAAACCCTGCATTTCACCTTGAACAGCCTTAGTAGCAAACAGTGATACTTGAATACCAACCAGTACTTTGCAAGGCAAAGTCATTTTAAAAGAAATAATGGGATTTGAAGAAATGTTTCTTTCATGGTTTCCCACTGCCTACCACATCCAGTGGAACTTCTTCACTCAGTAACACAGGCTAAGGTTTTGTCCAGCCTTGTCTCCCTGCACGCTGGTTACACTCTCTGTGTTTCCTACCACTGTATTTTTTCTCAGGATGGTTCTCTTCCTGGCATTTTTTTCTCTACTATCCTCACTCCAACCTGCCCCATTTTTTCACTCATTGAAATCCTGTTTTTCAAATCCTCTCAATACCGTTTCCTCAGAGAAGCCTCTTCTGAACCTCCCTGTGTCATCACCTCATTTGCTGCTGGTGACATTCCCATAGTCTGGCATTTTCTTTGTATTTTACCTGTGGATTTAACTTAGTTTCCACTTAGGAGAGTTATGTGAATGTGATCACCTGTTTTCCCCTTCTAAGCTATGTGCTTCTTGAGGTAGAGACAGCACATTTTCCTATATATTTACATTTATATCCCTTGCTCATAGTGGTCAGTAAGTAATTATGTGATATATTAGATTCATGATTGCTAAGATAGTGAACTATGTATCTTTTTACTGATGTTTCTAAGGCTTACTTCTTCCACTTTTATTATTTCAGAATGTTGACAAACAAACTTTAAGATGTAACCCAAGACCTGGGAAGGTAAGCTTAATGTTCTCGGATAGACTAAGATAAAAGGTAAAAATCTAGGTTACTTGTTGGCTTAAAGAATTTAAGATAAATACTTTTCGCCAACTTAGCAAATTATTATTTTACTCAAGGATTTAACATCTAAAGTTATATTTGCTTTTATGTACTTAAGATATTTTATTTTCTATATTCTAGGGCATGTTGGAATTTTAAATGCATTCTTAAAATTATTGTGCCTACTCACTATATGTTGCAGATGATTATCTATGATCTCCATGGAAGTAAATATAAACAAGAGATCTACTGTAATATTCCTGATGCCACATCATGGTGCTTTCCGAATGGGGTACTGATAAAAGTTGTAAGGGGCTGGTAAGAAATATCTTAAAATTTTATAGCATATTTTCAAAATTAAATGTGTCTTCTTGCTGTTTATGCTTGATGTATTTTTTTAAAGTCCTATGTTCTTTCCTCTAGCTTTGGACAGAGTATTTCAAAACATTATTAGTGCTTAATAACTTGATTGTTCTCTTATTTACTATGGCAAAAAATATAGACTGTTTTTAGTACTTAAAGACAGCAGTAAGTTGTAAGACCTAATATATACTATTAATACAGTCAATACTATTCTGTAACTGTATGATTAGCAGGATAAATTGGCAAGTTGAGTTGAATGTTTCAGTTGAATGGGGCATAGCTCTGAAAACAAGTTCAGAATTTGTAGGATCCTAAGGAATGAGAAGGACACATAGTTAAAGTCATTTGTATAGATGACATGCTCAAGAAGTAAAGGATTCTTTATATGGTCTAAAAGTGAGGGAAAACCTCATTTGTTATTATGGATCATGTCTCATGGCCTTGCTGGAGCTAGAACTTCTTTGTCCAGTGTTAGGTTACCCCCTGGTCAGTATTCATGTTGTAAGCAGTATGATGTATTGTCTTCATTATCATAAAATGGGACACTTGTTCTATATTATCCAGCAACAGGAAAATTAGGGTAGAAGTGTAATTTGGAATTGTAAAACTATTGTTTTTAAAACAAACTTAGGGCTTTGTGTGTACAACATCTATAAAGTGCACGTATACATAAATGTAGATATAGGCATATATTATGGTACTGTGTTCAGCAAGTATTTTTATTTTTCCAAATCTTATGCACTTTTATCTTTATATATATTATTTGTCTATACCTAAATTAGCTTATATTATTGTTTCAAAAATAGGATTATATGCTAATAGTGGAAGCTAGACTGGCTTAAAAAATTTAAGTAGATAAAATGGCCTGTGACTTACTAAGCATCTTTTGTTTTATACCACATTTCTTAGGAAATTAAACGTAACTTGTCGTTACATTTATATTTGTTTAGCTGGATTTTATATGAGAAACCACATTTCCAAGGTCAGAAATATGTTTTAGAAGAAGGGGAGAAGGTGTTAAATCGTGACTGGATTCTTCAGAATAGAAGGCATCCACAAAGAAACTTTGTATTGGGTTCTATCAAACGTGTCTTAAAGGTAACAAAAATTGTTTATTTTCTATGATGTTTTATTTGTCATGCAGTAAAGCTGTGTTATGGCCTAATGGTATTTAGAGATGGTTGCTAATTGTGCTAATTTTGTTAATCTTCATTATCATACTCATATTGATAATCTTTTGAGTTTATACATATAAAGTATTAGAGTGAATGATGATTAAAAATATTAACTACATTCTGGTCCATAAAGTGGTACATAGTGTACTCTTTCTCTTTCTCTCTGATATTAGGAGTATACTATTTAGGAATCTTTAGGAAAAGAGCTGATATTTCCAAATACGTGTTTTTCTACTATAAGGTGCTACTACTTAGTATACATGTGTGTATGCTTGTGTGTGTGTGTGTGTGTTATGGGAAATTAGAGAAAGTAGGATGGGCAGAGGAAGGGAAGGTGTTGCTTTTATGTTTTCTGTTTAGAAAATATTTTTTAATACTAAGATGAGGAAAGTCTTCTAGTATAATAAAACATTTTGTAAGAAGTTCTCTGGTGGTTTAGATACAGGATGAATTAATGATAAGGACAGATTTGATAAGGAAAAAATTCTCTCCCCATGTATTCTTAAGACTTCAGTAGTAACTTAATACGTTATACAGTGCAGTTAGGAGAAAGCCATATAAACTTAGAGTAAACTGTTTATTGTTGGTAGGTTACTATAAAATGCCCTTCAGTTGCTGGTGTTTACCTTTGTCCATCAGCAATTGTCTTACAAAAGATGCCATTTCTATGAATAGCCATCATGAAGAAGGTAGAACTTATCAGTGAAATCTTTTAATCAACTAGAGCAAAAACTGGGCTTCTCATAGAGATAGCTGAGAACATATGCCTTCTTATTTTTGTTACTTTTCTTTTTTTTTTTTAAACTTATCATGTTTTTGCTGTTACACTGTTTCCTTCTATGTTGTTATAGACTTGGATGCCTCTTAGCTTTTTCCCTTTTAAAGTACACCACCCGAACATTGTTTTTCTAATACAATGCAGAGGAAGCTTGTTTGTGTGAGACACTTATATATTCTGCTATGGTACTTCACATCCCTGGGGTAACATTAATGTGGCAGTATTTGAAATAATATTACTAGAATGCTATTATTAATAGCATACAAAAGAGCCTTGAAGATTGACAGGTGACTGTTCTGGATATTTCTGGCTATTTTTGAAATGAAATTTTAGAAAGAAATATGCTTTTAATTCTTTAAAGGATATTTTAGGTTACTCTTCTTTAATGTTGTACATGTTAGAATTAATTTTCTGAAAATGAGATGTATAAATTTGCTTGCTTTTACAAAATAATAAAAGTGATTGAGAACTCAGTTTGGGGAAAGGTTGAAAAATCAGAAAATTGCAGTTTTACAATTGCAAAACATATGATAAAAATACAATTGTTCAATTTCTAATAAATGCCACCTCTGATTTTTATTGCGTTTACCTATTTCGTTAAAGTATATTCATTTGAATTTCACAGTGTCATAGGTGAGAATTATGTTACCGAAATTTGAGTTGTATAATTAAACATGCATGAGTACTGAGATAGATAGTGTGTTCAGACAGAAGTGTATCTGTAATTTCAGAAAAAGTAAAAATGTGATTTTGATTCCCTAAGAATCCTTTATGACGTCTTTTTTGAGTTAGAACTTGATTATCATGAGATTTTTATAAATAAGAATACAGAGAATCATCTGTTTAATTGAGATGGGAGAAATAGCTACAAAGCTTACAGAGGCCAGAGTGGGAGTGGAGATAGTTTGCAGACAAGTGTGACTGCAGAGTCGTGGGAAGTTAGTGTGGATCACCAGTTTGTTCCATGTTGTAGAAAGGCAAATGGAAATATGAATTTGATGTTATTAGGTCTTGAGCCAAGAGTGTCAACAGGAAAGTGCTGTTCTAACATGCTCAGCTGTACAACAAGTAGCGAGCTCGTGCTTGACTGGCGGTTGTGACTAGGCCCATAATCCAAGGCTGGGCCTGACCAAGAGCTGTGGCAGTGGGAGCAATAAGAAGAGATATGCACAAGTAAAATTTTAAAGGAAGGCTTAATAGGACATGGTGACAGTGGGTAGAGAATTTTTTAAGACTGCGATGGGGTGTAGGGACAAATTTCATAATGCCTTTGTTCTTCAAACAAACTTACACTAAAAAAAATAGTCCCACAAGCAGGAAAACAGATTTCCTTTACTCTCACCTCTAATTCCTACTTCTTTTGTCAATGTAAATTAGATAAACACAGTGAAGGGGTAGTGCCTCTCTGTTATTTATTTTTTATATCCCCCATGAGGTCAGTTTTTATTTAACTCCCTTCCTCCCTTATGACCTTGTTATGCCTCTAAGAAGGAAGGCTTACAGACATTTGGCACTCGAATAGTTTGGTAACTCTGAACGTTGCTTAATGGAACAAGTCTTTAAAAAGCAAAGCACAAAATATTGGAACAGGTTTTCATCAATATTTATAATTTTCATGTTATTAACATAACTCCTTAGAAGAACTTATTTTTTTAAAAATGGGTAAAAAATAAAACAACAATATTTCCTTTATGTTGTTTCTGTGAAGAAATTCAACTGAACAATGAGAGTAATTGTAACTGCATGTCCAGTGTGTTGGGAATACTAGACTATGTGTCTCTAGATGATTTCAGAGTCAAATTATTATTATTTTTTTCAGGATTGCAACATTCCAGAGATACAGCTTTGCCCACAATCTGACCCAGCACAATGTCCTATCTACATACAGCGAGCAGTCCCCAATTTGGAAGAACTGAATATCCCCAAATCTGTGTCCTTCACTGTAAAGTCAGGAGTGTATGTATCAGTTTCTCTTTATTATAGTGATTGATGGCCACCAAAGTTAACTTTTTACTTTATATTTCAGTAGGTGACATACATATTTCTGAGGTTTTAGTTAATTAATCTCAGCTATACTCCTGGATACCCAAGAAAGACTACTTCAGGGGTTAGAACAGATTCTTTCTTTGGATTCAATTAAGGCTTTGGACGTATGACTCACAGGAGCATGTAGAGAATTCTCAGAGGTAGTTCTTGATAAAGAGATCCATTGTCTTTTCATCCAACAAATTTGGGGATTGAGAAATAAAAACATGACACTGGCCTAAAATTCTGGATCCTGAACTATTTCTAGAATGTGTAAGTGCTAATAGTTATTGAATGCCTCCGCAGTGCCAGGCACATGCCACTTTTGTTTTTACTCCTTTGTTTTTTTATTTCTGCAAGGCAGTTGGTGTTATGCTCATGTTACAGATGAGTGATTTATCCCGTGCTACTACCATAACCATGGGTTTGATACTAGGCTTCTGTGTTTCCAAAAGTATCTGTAAGATTCTGGGTCTGAGTTCACCCTTAGTTCCATACACATTGGCTCAAATCACAAAATTGTGTGGATGCTTGGCTCAATGTGGACCCTTCTTTTCTCTTTCATTGTTTTTGTCTGTTCTGATGGTGGTGATTGTACAATTTTGGGGTCACTGTAGGACATCTTTCTTTGTCTCCCCGACCATGAATTAGAACTCTTGGGCAGAACCAGTAATTGGCCCTATCCATGAGAAATGTCTGTAATTGTCAATCTTAGCTGGAAGATAGATGGGTCTTTTGGGAATCTTATTTCAAATATTGTTTCTGAGTCAGCCAAGAGAACCGATACCAGTTCTAAAAATGTGGGTCAAAATATAAAATTCCACCTAGTGGAATCCCAATGTCTGATTGCCCCACTTTTAAAAAAAGGAATGGAATATAGTGGAATGGTTTTGATTTTTCAATTATATCCTACTTGATTAAAGGTGCCATATGTTTTAGGTATTGGAGAATTCTAAGAAGAGTGGTGTCTAGCACTTGGAAAATGAATTAGATTTTTTTATAGACAGGATAGATAGTGTGTGAATGTAAGTACTTAGTAACATGTTAATTCTTGTTATATGCTGTCTGGCTAATCACTTTGGGTGTGTTTTACTAGTGTAATTCTGTGATGGAGGATTTTTTTTTTTTTTTTGTCGCCCTTTTTACTCTCACAGAGCCAGAGTAAAGTATTACCGTTATACTCTAACCAACTGTTTATTTCTTATTTAGTTGGCTTGCCTACCCAGATATTAATTTTAAGGGGCAAGCTACAGTTTTGGAGGAAGACCGTGGGCTCTTTGAGATTTCTGCAGCGGAAATGAAATCATTGCAGCCGCTTCAAATGGTAAGCAGATTTAAAAAGAGCAGTCCTTTCCCAAGTACTCATGAATCCAAAATTAAATAACTGTGATGATTGCTCATGCATCTCAATCTCAAGAAACGAATGTGTACTGCTGAATTGGCAAACTGTATATTGTTTTCCTTTTTATTTATATTGTAGAGAATGTGTATGACACATGTCTGAATTTACTTTGTACTGTACCAAGTTTATCACAGTACATGCAGTTTCCTTAATAAGTATTGTTCTGTGACAGTTCTGAATATTTAACAAAGTCCTACGTTTGTTTCATTGGTGCTTATTACAAAATTAGTTGTTAGTAAATTATACTCTTCCACTGTGGTAATGAAGGATAAGTTCAGCATTAAAAATAACTGGGCAGCTCTTTCAGTGTTTACTTACTTAAAGATGATAATTACCTGCAGTATTTGTTTCTTTTTGTCATTGTATTAGTCTGTTGTGTTGCTATAACAGAAATACCTGAAACTGGATAATTTATAAAGAACAGAGGTTTATTTGGCTTACGATTCTGGGACAGCTGCATCTGGCATGGACCTCGGGCTGCTTCTACTCATGGTGGAAAGCAGCAGGTACAAGCAGATCACATGGCGAGAGGAAGCAAGAGAGAGAGAGAAAGGAGGTGCCAGGGTCTTTTAAACAGCCAGCTCTCGTGGGAGTTAATAGAGCGAGAACTCATTCATTACTCCCCCACCTAGGGAGAGCACTAATCCATTCATGAGGTATCCACCCCATGACTCAAACAGCTTCCAGCACTGCCACATGGGGGAGCAGATTTCCATATGAGTTTTGGTGGGGACAACACATCCAAACTCCATCATTCGTAAATGTTTTTGAGAGGTGAATTGTTCAATTAAATGTTGGCTATATGATAAACCATTTTTGGTTGTTCGGTGCCTTTTAAAAATATAGAAACCAGGGCATACTGAGAAATTTTAAGAAATATCACAATGTGGAATAGCATTTTAAACAAGAAAATTACAGAAATATGGTTTTTTATGGGGGGGTAGTTTTTATGCTCTACAACTTTGAGGTCACAAAGCATTGAATGTTATCAAAAGTGTTGATAGAACTTGGAAGGGGAAGTGTGGTCAACTTAATGTTCTCTTTAATTTAGAAACCCCAAGTAATTTTAGAGAAGACATTTGGATTAATTGCCTTAGAAATCTACTCTGCCAAATGAGATTTCTGAATTTACTAACAATTCTACTCTTCTTTTTGGGACACTCTGCAGTGGGATTAAATCTTAGTTGGTCATGGGTGCTCCAACGACTAAAGCTTGATTTCCTTCCTTGTAGTGGTTGGAATCTGGAAAGAGTCTTTTTAAGTTCTTGCCCCATTTAGATTGATGTAGAGCATTCTGATTTGGCTTTGACTACTGTAGAATACTCTATTTAAAATTTACCTCAACTTAAATTTGACTAGTATGTCATCTTCACTAATCAGGTTTTTAGATAGCCTACATATGTTGTTTAGTTACTTTTAAATATTTTAAATATTTACATATTTAATATTAAAATATCTTGTTATTTTAAGGGTGGACTGAAAGTGGAAATGCCTATGAACTTAAAGGTAAGTCTTGAACAGACTTTTGTAGCATGCTAAAAACTCTGAGTATTAATCTTAAGTATTTTGAACTAGTATAATAAAAAAATTAACTGAATATATGATAATACCTAGCTAATGAATGTTGGGGTAGTGGGAAGTGAGTGCACAGGTCTGTGCTGACAACCCAATGAAACCCACTAATTGTCTCCTATGGGGTGAAAAGGTGGTTAGTTTGATTTTTGTTTCTGGAAGGCTTGAGATAGCAGCTAGATATTCAAGTGGAGATATCTAGCAGGCATTTGGGAGTGATGCTCAGGAAGGTGATCAAGGCTGATCAGAAGGAGGTGTAGGTAGCTCTTATCAGATAAATTGTCAGTTTGTAAATATGACTCTCTGAAGAGAAAAGTAGAGGTACTGAAAAGTAGGATGGCAGTGGTGCCAGGATCAAGCACATTTGGGGAAGGAAAGGAGGAAATAGAATTACAAAATGAGTATAAAGACAGGAAGAAAACCAGTGTAGTGATTAAAGATGCAAACAGGTCTCTATGTAATTAAGTTACAGCACCTCCAGAGGCAGGTGTGGAACAGAGATTCATCCATCCTTCTCCTTTGCTCCTAAACAAGACACAACTCCTCCAGCCTTCTGCTTTCTGGGCTTCCTAATTTATGGAGCTAACTATACTATTCTCTCAATTACATAGATAGAGTCTTTTAAAACCTTATGTATCTTTAAAACTGAGTGTATCTAAAACACATTGACTGTATGTTGGAATCGTACGTATTAGAGTTTTAGAAAAATACTTATGCCTGGGTTCTATTCTCAGAGATACCATTTTGGTCTTAGGGTATGGTCAAAAATTTTCAGAGCTTCCCGGATGATTCTAACATGCAGACAAGGTTGTGGATCACTAAAAGATGTTCTCTGAGTGACTCCTGTCTTAATCGTCTAATCAGGTGAATCAGAACTTCAGGTATGGTAGGCTTGGACATTTTCAATTCGGCAGGTTGTAGGTATATATGAATGGATTGATTATCATAGATAATCACAATTTACAGCTTGTTAGGTATTAACTTATGGCTTACTCATCAAAAAATTATGCTTCTTAGTTTGAAGTTGTCAGCATACATAACATGTATAAAACCCAAATAAAACTTCATCACTTCAAATACAGAACCCTGTGAAAATCTAATGTGTAGAAAACAGCAGGATCAGTATTATACATTTTTTCAACCTGTGTGTTATCAGTTTTTAGCAATAAGGAATCTTATAACTTGTTGGTTTAGTGTGTTTAAGCATGGGGTCTTATTTGCCAAGGTCTTGGGTTATAAGTTCTGCATAAATGATATCACTGGCCACAAATAGGACCAAGTGACAGAGTATGGATAGAGTAATGCTGTCATCACTGTTATCACTTCTACATACTTAGGGCAGCTGGTACTTGAGAAGTAAAGAAGAGCAAAATAGTAGAAGAGAAATGTTGTACCAATCCAAAATTGAAGTGAATGAAATGCTAGAAATTTGTTTCCTACTATACTCATCTCACCCCACCCATTTGAATCACATATTTAATAAAAATTATAATTTTTTCAATCATATTTTTAGGAAGTTTTGTCTTCTCATTCAATATTTTGCATGTTCTGTTTTCTCTCAATTAATAGTAATGACCATAAAAACAATTAGTGTGGTTAAAAAAAAAGAGTATGTATTTTCTCAAATCAATAGATAATTTATTTTTATACCCTGAAGAGTTTTTATTTCTTACAAGGGAAACTCAGTAAATGTAAGGCAGTTCTGTGTTAAGTTCCAAACACAGGGATAAACTCCTAAAGATCGTTCAAGAATCAGCTATAAGATAGTTCACTCTATGAGACGATCCCAGGATTGGGGTGACTAGAACAATGTAATCATATCCAAGTATATTAATATGAGAAAAACATACTGTTAATTAAGATATTTTACCTTTCTTTACCTTATTCTTGTGACTATCAGACACTGTGCTATATTATAAGAATATATTAATAAAAAAACAGTGGTCTCTATGTTGTGGTCTTTTGTGTGACTTAAGTAAATCAATTTGTATCAAAAATATGAGCACATTAACTTTTTAAATATTTTTCAGGTTATTATTTATGAAAAACCTCACTTCCATGGACAGTCCAAAGAGTTTAGTGAACATATAGATTCTGTCCCTAATTTTTTAAAAAATGATGAGGACTTTCATGGAATTGGATCAGTTCGTGTCATCGGTGGAGTGTGAGTGCCATATTTTCAGTTTTTGATTTAGAAGTCTATTTTTGAAGATCAGCACAAGAAATGTGCTAAGCAGAGCAAAAGCAACCTTCCTTAATCTACAAATACATTCCTTCTGTAATATGGAAAGTGAAGAATATTAGTTACTGACAGCTTTCTGTGAACTCTTGGTATCAAAGATTTTGAGGTAGATTATATGTAGAAAATAGTTTCTAAAGCTTCAACCCTTAGTATTTCTAAACACAATATAGAAGACAAGAATTGCAAGATAAAATTACTTTTTCACAGGTTATGAACATGAAGGAGAGCCCCAGTTTTCATCCTGTATCCTGTTGACCTTAGTCAACTTATGTGCCAAGGACTTTGGCAATGAGTCCTCTCTTGTTAAAGTAGTGCTATTGCTTGTGTATTTCCAAAGTCAAGGGTTTTTGACATTGGTTTGACATTGGTTGCCCTCCAGCCCTGAACTGCTGTTGAGAAAGCCCTCTAAAAATCCCTGGGAATAAACCCAAGTGTCAATCAGTAGTTACTGGGGCAGAAGCCCTAGCAAATCTGTGACCAGGCTGGGATGTACTTTTTGTATTTGTATTTGTATCCTGGCAGGTAAAACCGTGGAGAAGAAACTTTCATCATAGTTTTTTTTTGCCATTGTCAACAGAGTGCTGGAATCCCTCCAGAAACATTCTGTTGTCTATCTCTTGATATTTCCTGTAACATCATAACTTGTTCATGCTACTCTAGCAAAAGACGCTACTGAAGTATTTTATTCATAGAAGTTAAATGACTTGTCTAAGATCACTCAAGGGTGTGTATTTAGAGACAGACTTTGCAGTTTCTGGTAATAAATTAAGTGATAGCCATACTAGTCAAAATGGAAACGTAAGAGACCACAATATGCTAGATGTGCAGGTCATATCAATTATTAGTCTGACATATTGGTAATCATTTAATTCCTTATCCTTGCACTCTAAAAATTTATTTGGGACTTGAAGAACAAACATGGTTTGGATAAACACATTTTTATTGTGATGTGTTTATTTATAGTATTCTCTGGTTTGTGAACACACATGCTTCTTGTTAACCCTGCTATAAAATATTTTTGCCTTTTCTTCCCTCTGGGATCTAAATGTTTTTCCCATTAAGTAAATTGAGTTAAAACTAGTGTCTGCCCCATAGAAAATTATCTGCTAAAATTCAGTGTGATTCACATTGTTGTTCTCTAAGTTTTTTACAACTATTTTATAAAAATCTCAAGTAAACATGGCTTGTAATATAGTAGATACAGTTTTGTTTTTATATGACACCTGCAGGAGAAAAATATGTCTCCATTTAAAGATGAACAGCTGACTTCATTATTTTTTCACTGTTTATATGACACCTGCAGGAGAAAAATATGTCTCCATTTAAAGATGAACAGCTGACTTCATTATTTTTTCACTGTTTATCAGTTTTTGCTTTTGTTAGATCTTTAGCTTTATGTGTAAGTAACAGAGACTCTTCCTCTTCTCTGCCCCATCTTGAGGAATCTGAGGAAAGTGAGTTTGATGTTTCTTAATTTTTCTCAGGCAAATCTGTTTTTAAATATTCCAGAGAGATATATAAATTGAATATCAATCGAAACTTAGTCTGTTTAGAAAAACTGGAAGGGTGAATTTTGGATTGTCATTTTGTAACAGATTTACTGATCTTAATGTATTCCTTGACATTAAGGCCTTCTTTTTTTTTTTTTTTTTTTTTTTTTTTTTTTTTTTTTTTCGTGTCCGGCAACGGATCGCAACCCTCAGTGTTGCCTCCGTACCGGACCGGGGACCGGCAACGGGATTGCAACCCTCGGTGTTGCTCCCGCGCCTCGCTCAGCCAGTGAGCGGGAACCTGTCTGTATGTGGGATCCGAACCCTTGGGCGGGAGCAAGCGGCGCACTATCCAGTGCGCCACCGGGCCGGCCCCTACATTAAGGCCTTCTATACCTTTTGTTCTTTTCCCATTTAGGTATAATTAAAAGCATGTTTTGAGTAGCCACATTTATATAAAAGAAAGCTTAGAATTTGAACATTTTCTTTTGAAATTTGTTTTTTTGAAATTTGAAAATAGTTTAAGAATAAAATATTGTTAGTTTCTTTACATATTACCAAAATACTAAGATGTATAAATAGGGTTTATAGGTTTATTCCCCTCCCCAGCACTATATATACACTTACAGAAAGTGTAAGTGGGATTAACAATTACTGAATGGCTACTGTTATTTTGTGCTTATGAGCACAATTGTTTGGAATACTTTTTCATATGTTCACACTGTAGTAGGGGTGGGGAAAGAAAAAACAATAGTAGGCAGCCCTCCTGACTTTCATTTTGTCAAGCTCCTGAATTCAGAAGTTTCCAACCCTGGTGCTCAGAATAGTTATCTTTGGGACCCTGCCCCACTGGAAGGGTGTCTCACCCTAACTACGCAATGCAGCTGAAGACAGATTTAAGCAGGCCGTATGTTTTATGGACCACGTATGCCCACATTGCATTATATATTGTGGGTTACTCCATAAGAAGGTATGTTTCATGGAGGAGCTTAACAACTACTAGTGTTTATCATTGTCCTGTACTGGTAGTTTCAGATTAGAAGTCAAGAAACTTGTGTCTCTGAAAAGTACTCTGCCTGCTGCTTTCTGTTTCCATGGTCACCACTGATAAAATGGTGGGACCAACATTTCCCACCCGTAAGTATTTATAGATGTCTTTGTATATGTGTAGGGCACCAGGGCTAATACCAGTGCAGTTGCATTTGCCAGTTCCTCTTTGCTAAACCCTCCTGTATTATGTTTTTTATAGAAAGCCTGGCGAGAGGTTCCCTTGATTTAAACCATGAATAAATGTTTAATATAATACTCATTCTGTGGTTCCAGAAGGGTTTAATCAGTAAAATAAGAATGATTATCTTTGGATCTCAATGTGGGTTTGTAAATTTTCTCATTGGCTATGTGCTTTCTGTTATTTCTTACTTGGCAAACTATTTTGTGACCATATTGAGCTGTGGTATCAAGTCACTCCAAAAGCATTTAAACGAGCATTGCTCTGTTGGAATTCTACAATTAACCTTTTTTTTGGGAAAAGCCTCCAAACTGTAACAATTATTGATCCATGAAGCACACACCATTTGTCTGTCTTTGTAAATGGAAAACAAAATGAATGTGCTGATATTTTAGAATATGGAAATGACAACTATGTGCTTTATCATTATTTTCTCTGTTTTGCTTTCTTGAGTACATTTTTATTAATGGCTCAATTGGGTGTCCTCTGTATTTCCAGGTGGGTTGCCTATGAAAAAGAACATTTTAAAGGACAGCAATTCCTGCTTGAAGAAGGAGACTTTGAAGACAGTAATGCATGTGGGGCATTAAGTGGCCCCATCTTGTCTTTCCGATATTTACAAGCTGTGAGTTAGCTTTCTTATCCTTAATTTTCTACCTGTTTTATCTTTTCATAAAAATTAGACATGGCTGCTGATATAACACGAGGTTATAAAATGTTTCTAACACCTGAGAGCATTAAATTGAACTGCTTTTGTGATTGTCCTGTGTTTCTTAACTGCCATGATTATTATAGAATATTTATTTTTACTTTTCATCCATTGATCCCATAATCATTTTTTGAGCACCTGCTTTGTTAGATGTATTGTGCTAGGTGCTGGAGATGTAGTGATCAGAGACTCAGGCCCAGTATTCACCAGGCAGGGAGTATGCTAGAGAAGATAGCACTTACATATTTAATATTGTTAGTCTAAGACTGGATTAAGTAGAAAGTACTCAGATTACCCAGAAAAAGGTCAGTTGGTCGTTATCCTCACTTGGAGTAGAGAGGGTTTCATGGAAAAGATGATAGCTGAGCTGAAGTTCCAAGTTCAAAAAAGAGTTAACCAAATAGAGAATTTCCAGGTGAGTGTGAAGGGGAAATGTAGGTGCTGTTTAGCAAGAAATTAACACATGTTAATGTGTAAAGTCAAAGTTGTAAGCCAGTGGTTCTCAGGCAGAGGTGATTTTACCCCTTAGGAAGCATTTGACAATGTCTGGAGACATTTTGGCTTGTCGCGTCTTTGGGGTGGGGGGTTACTACCAACCTCTGGTGGGTAGAGGACAGGGATGCTGCTAAACCCTTACAATGTTCAGGTCAGCCCTCAGCAACAAAGAATTATAGAGCCCAAAATGTTAATAGTACCGAGGTTGAGAAACCCTCATGTAAGTGAAATTGTGGTGTGTTTGGGGGAAATGTAGTTAAGTCAGGATGTTAGGGAGAACTTTGGGAAGATGAGTCCAGAGGCACATAATGAAAGGTCTTATGCCAGGTTGAGGAGTTCAGACTTTTTTTCTGAGTTGACCATGAGCCACTGATGGATTTTAGGCCTAGTGAGCATGATTGGAGTAATGCTTCAGGAAGATTTTTTTTGCGGCTGTGTCAAGAAGTGGCACGGGGTGAGGGAGGTAAGGCTGAAGGTAAGAGGTCCAGAATATTACAGGTGGAGGTTGATGAAGGCACAGAAAGGAGACAGATGTTAGAGAGTTCTTAGGATATCAGGGCTTATCAAATGTTGCTCACTTTTCTGACCAGCCTTGTGGACTTTTTAATGTGTTCAAAGGAACATGTTTTCTTATTATTCAAGAGTTACCATTGCAGTCTCTTCAGGATAGTATCTACCCATATAAACTCTAAACTATCTGGGATGGTCTGTCTCTGAAGCCCTCTTGGAGGGAATTGATAGAGAAGTGGAGGGCGATTACTGGGTCAAAAGCAGTATTACAGTGAGTCAAAAACCAATTCTACACTATCTGGGATGGTCTGTCTCTGAAGCCCTCTTGGAGGGAATTGATAGAGAAGTGGAGGGCAATTACTGGGTCAAAAGCAGTATTACAGTGAGTCAAAAACCAATTCTACCTGAAAGAAATATAAGACAGGCCACTGAACATTGAAATATAATCAGTCCACTGATTGCTTGAGCAGTGGCTAGGTAAGACTAAGCCATCTTACCCAGAGATGGGTAAGATTCCCTTCTCACAAATGCAGAAACTGAGGATCCAAGAAGTCGGGTACTGTATCCAAGTGTAGAGCTGCGATCTGAGGCCAAGTCTGTCTTACTGTAGAGCACATGTCATATTACCCATTTTTCCATTATCGCAAATGCTTAGACTTAAAAAGACCTTAACAATGGAAAACTGGATTTCATTCAGTCAAAGGCTTATTAGCATTTCATTTGTAGTTATAAATTTAGGGACACAATGAAGACCAGTATACATATATAATATGTTAATATTTACATGATTTTCAGACACTTTGTTTGTAACTTAAATTTATGTTTACCAAAATATTTTTAGTTGAAATAGATTAAAAAAGTGATGCATATTTAGACAACATACAATTTATGTATGTATGTACTGTGAAAATGCTTTAAAAACTTGCTTATCTACTTATACTTAGAAAAATTATATTTTCTTTCTACTTATACTTAGAAAAATTGTATTCCAGAGATAGCAGTAATTGGGAAGGAGTTCTTGTGATTGTGACCACCCTACATAATGTAATAGGTAGAGCAGATGTGAGACATATTTTCTCTGTACAGACTTTCAGATGCCTCTAACCTGGGAAAGAGTGAAGCACTACATTTAAGATCTCAGTTGAAGTAATATAAATAAACAAGAGGACAGATAGAATATCTTCATAATGCAATGCAGTTTTCAAATATCCTGGCTGCAGTATATGGAATACTGTGGATCTAATAAGGTCAAATACCAGACACGTTCCTTTTAGGGATAACGTGATCTCTTTTTCGACCTCTGAAACAGGTGGTTCGCAAAGGAGACCATTATTTCTCTGAAGTTAACGGATGCACCAGATCTCCACTGGTGTCTCATATCACATTTCCCTCTTGGGGAAGATCAAGAGTGCAGGGCTTGATCAGTTGAGGCATTTTATGGAATTTAAAAGTAATCAAATTACCTGATGCTTAAGACTTATCTTTGGGCCTGGAGCAACTGCTCATTAGTTTTCTCTAACAGTAGGAAGTACTGTACTAAATTGTCCAAGTGCTTTAAAAATATAGAATTGGATTTTTTTTAAAAAAAGAAAACAAAACATATAGAAGGGAGTATAATTTTTTTTTTCCTTTTTGTCTTTTTTTCGTGACCGGCAACGGATCGCAACCCTCAGTGTCACGCCCGTACCAGACCGGGACCGGCAACGGGATCGCAACCCTCGGTGTTGCGCCCGCACCTCGCTCAGCCAGCGAGCGGCCGGTCTGTATGTGGGATCTGACCCCTTGGTGGGAGCGCCGCCGCGCTCCCAAGCGGCGCACTGTAGCAGTGCGCCACCGGGCCGGCCCAGAAGGGAGTATAATTTTTTTTTCCTTTTTGTCTTTTTTTCGTGACCGGCAACAGATCGCAACCCTCAGTGTCACGCCCGTACCAGACCGGGACCGGCAACGGGATCGCAACCCTCGGTGTTGCGCCCGCACCTCGCTCAGCCAGCGAGCGGCCGGTCTGTATGTGGGATCTGACCCCTTGGTGGGAGCGCCGCCGCGCTCCCAAGCGGCGCACTGTAGCAGTGCGCCACCGGGCCGGCCCAGAAGGGAGTATAATTTTTAATGTCATTCCATCACTGTTTATTCTTTTTGGGTAGAAGAGCTCCACTTAAATCTGTGTGACTTTCAAGGTTATTTAGTTGTGCCTAGGAAAAGCAGGAATGGTAGTAACCTACTAACCTCATAGGGCTTACACTGGACCTGTCTGTTTGACTTGAACAAGTTGGTTAGAAGTGTTTTGGTTTTTGTTTTATGTTTTTTTTTTTTTCATATTTTACACCACGCTTTGCACATGTGACCCCTGGAGGTTTATTCCCAGGTGATTGGACCCAGGTCTAGCACATGAGTTAGGTTACAGCTAGAGCTCTCCCCTGCAGGAACACTATGTTGATGGCAACTAATCAGTGAGGTCAGATATTGTTTATTTGATAGGTATGCAGAAAGGGGAAAAAACCAGGAGAGTGGCTCAGCAGGAGAGAAACACTTAGAAAAAGATGGGTGCAAAAGCTATAAGGCAAGAAAAACTATGACAAGATAAAAGTAGAAGATTGAAAGAGGAGAGCAATACCACCTAGGAGATGACCTGCTTCTAGGTCTCTGGAAATGGTAAACAGTGTGGGAAGGACAAACCGAAGCCATGTGAATGAATTTATTTGTGAACCCATATGCTGCCAGCACTTGTACTTGGCAGTTGGCCCTATGACAGTGAGTCTCTCCTGCTCTGCTCAGCTCCTGGCTGCATTGTTGCCAAGTGGCCTTTGCCTCCAGTCTGTCTGCCAGCTCACTCTCGTCACTGCCACCACTCACCCTACCCCACTACTCATAAATACGACTTGTGCAAATCATTGACCAACTGAAGTACATCACAGCATAACACAAGTAATTTCTAAATGACAGGGCACATATATGTACTTATCTTGCTGTGTCCTTGTCCTGTTTTACTCCAACATAGCACAGTGATTTATGACATATTTCAGCTTATTCCTGGTCCCCCATATCTACAACCCTAACAGGGAGTAGAGAACAGGTAGTTGTAGGGGCAGAAGAAGTAGAAGCAGAGACAGAGTTCCAGAGTCACCAAAGTGGGAAAGGAGAGGTCCTATAATTGAGAGCTGCTAAAGAACCTTCCCATTATGGTTGGGTCTGATTGTATTGGTGACTATCGATACTGATTCTCGACCAGGACCCAAAATGGGTTCACTTCAGCCATCACTATTATATTATATCCTCACAGTCACCTTGAGCTAGTTAGCACTCATGTTGCAAGAAACAGAGGCATTTAGGTTTTAAGAAACCTGAATTTTAAACATAATGCTCCAGTTGGGAAGCTTGTTCTGGGGACTTTTAAAGTGATCACCTATAGGCTATTAAAGCCTTGATTTCCTCATCTGGAAAGTGGCATTATGTATGTATGTGGATATGTGTGTATATACATGTGTGTAAAATCAGGAATTAGGAGAGCTCAAAAAAGATAAATGCAAAAGTGTTTTGAAAATAAAGTGTTCTGTTTATAAAGGGGGGGGGGATGGTGATATTGATAAAATATAAATCTACCCAGCTCTCATTTTTTAAAGAACCTTGTGAGAGTAATGTTGGTGGCAAGTATGCTTAGGTTCCAAAGATTAACTCTTAAGGAGAAATTGAAAGCACAGTTATATGTTAGAAATTGTTTTACAGTAAAATTTTAGGTAAAAAACCTTTACTTTTTATCCTAAAGTTTCAAATGAAATTTTACACAGTGATAATCAGCAATTTAAAAATCTTTGAAAGCTGACAAGTAGTACATAACAAAAGAATTTTTTTTTTTTCCTCTTTTGTCTTTTTTCGTGTCCGGCAACGGATTGCAACCCTCAGTGTCGCGCCCATACCGGACTGGGACCGGCAACGGGATCGCAACCCTCAGTGTTGCACCCGCACCTCGCTCAGCCAGTGAGTGGGAACCGGTCTGTATGTGGGATCCGAACCCTCGGCGGGAGCATCGCCGCGCTCCCAAGCGGCGCACTGTAGCAGTGCGCCACCGGGCCGGCCCCAAAAGAATGTTTTAAAAATGTATTTTGTCCCTCTCCTTACAGATGCCTTGTTTTGGGGGGGACCCTGCTGTGCTTTTTCATATAAAATGAATGTTTACCTAGAATTCTTCTACTCTTCCATTAAATATATAAAAACATATTAAAAATGGGAGAAAATTGTTATTGTTGAAACTTGTAGAAGTTGATAACATTTTCTATAGGTCTAAGACTTGATTTACAAACAATGAAGTAGTAGTGGGGAAGGAGGTTTCTTTTAAAAATGTATTGTTTTCTAATTAAAAAAATACACAGTAAAGAAATTTGAAAAAAAAGAGGGGGGGGAGGTAAAATTGTTCGATTTCCTTGTATCAAAGATAACTACTCTTGATTTTTAATAATTTCTTACAGTATTTTTTTTAGGAAAAGTTTTTTTTTTTTGCGAACTACTCTTGATTTTTAATAATTTCTTACAGTATTTTTTTTAGGAAAAGTTTTTTTTTTTTTTTGCAGTTTTTTTTTTTAGCGTACTTGTAATCTTACCAATGTTTATAAGTTTGAATTTTTGTCCTGCTTTTCCATCCTTACATTTACAAGGATGTTTCAAAAAGTTTCTGAAAAAAATGGAATTAAAAGATAATAGGAATCTTTCCATAAACTTTTTGAAGACCCCTTGTATATCTGACAGTGACTAAAAGCTGAGGGTAGATAAGCAGACAGACTTGCACTCAGATACAATCTCTGTCCCTCACTAGCTGTGGGACTTCCATCAAATTTCGTTTCCTTAGCTATAAAATGGGAATGATAGTAGTAGAATCTCATGTGGCGGCTCTTTTGGAAGTAATATACATAAAGCTCTTAGTCAGTAGTAACTGAAGAATGTTTTTAAGTGGTAGGTTGTTAAAAACTCATTAATAATCTTTAATATTCTATCAAATGATGGATGTAATAATGGTTTATTAAACCATCTTTTGGACATTTACATTCTTTATAGCTTTTCACTATTGTAAATATGAATCTTTGCATATAAATTGCTAACCAGTTAGTTTTTTTAGGAAACGTAACTCAAAAAGGAGTTTCAGAGTCAGAGAGTGTGAACAGTTTGTCTTTTTAATCTATTTCTAAATTATTAAGTAGCTGTTCAATTTATATTTCCACCAGCAATGTTTCCTGAGAAAACTGGATTTTTAGATCTTTCTTAATTTAACTTTAAAAAAGTTAAAATTGTATCTAATTGTTTTAATTTGAATTTCTTTAGTATAGTAGTGAAATGAGATATTTGCATATTTGTTTTAAATGTTATTCTTTTCTCTGTTATGAATTGTCTGTGTCTTTTGCTGATTTATTTAGGCCTTAGAGTTTTTCTCAGACATCTTTCTTTTAAATATGTTGGCCTAGTATAAACAATTTTTAATTTCCTATCCTCACTTCAATTTTTTAAGAAAAAATTTTTTGTTAAGCAAATTCTATTTTTTCTGCTGCATTTAAATTTGTAAAATCCTCTCCCACATGGCCCACAGTACCTTATGTATTCAGTTTTGTTCACATAGTTTTCACTCTTCAGGAACAAGTGAGACTTTAGTTTTGTCTACAGTTAGTGTTACATATGATAGCCTATAAATCCCAGCAATTTACCATCAACTAATTTACATTTATATAGAAATGTTATATTTTTCTGATTAAAGTAAATTTAGGCTTATCTTTTTAAAAGTGAACTTACTATGGAGAAATCACTGTCTTGGCAGGTTTATTATGTATATGTACAGGTATTTCTAATACTTACATCAAATGTTTCTTAAAAGAGGTAGTGGGGTTGAAGCCCTTCTTTTTCATTTCTACTATGTTAATGGTATGGAGGGGATTGAGCAATACTCTGGAGCCTAATGTTTGTTTATCATCTGTTGAGGCCTAGAAATTGTGCCATTTTAATACTTTTGCTAACTCTGTGAGGTGAATGTTAATACTGTTTTTAGATACTGTTAATACTGTTAATAGGAGTAGTGGCTATAAAATTGTTTCCAGTGTCATTTAAAATTCTTCCTGGAGTTACTTGTGTGGAAATGATTCCACGAGTCTGTGACATTGTGCTAAGATATAGCAGTCTATAAGACAAAATGCAAGAATATGCCTTCCTAAACTTTCCTCTTCCTCTTTTTAGAATTTTATAGAATCTTCTATCACATTGTTTGAATCTGACGTAGAAAGTGGGAAGTTTATTGACATTACAAATCAGGAAATTTCTGACTTAGAAGAAATTGGCTTTGGCAGTGAAACAAGATCCATTTACGTTAGAAGTGGAGTGTAAGTGGTCCCCTGCTCTAAGAACCTTGAGAGATTCTTTGATATTTAAAATTCTTGGTTGCTTGTTTCTACGTCATCTCTCTTTATTTTTCCCTACTAGATGGGTTGCCTACCAGCAGAAGTTCTTCTGTGGAGAACAATATGTTTTAGAGAAAGGGAAATACAAATGTTTTTTTGACTGGGGAGGATCAAGTAATATAATCATGTCAATACGACCTATCCAACTGGTGAGTGAAGTGTGAAGATAACCAGTGCCAGTGGCATATAATGGTATACAATTGAACGTGTGGAACCAACTTTTTAAAAGTGGAATTGTTAAATTATGAGTGTGTATATAGAGAAAAAATAATCATATGGATTTCTGTAGATCCCAGAAAGCTAGTAGATATTACCATACAGATGAGATGGCTCCGTAATTTGATCAGTTCATTCATTCATCAGCATTTACGTGCTGATCACTGGCAATAAAAGATGAACAAGACTGCCCTGGTAGGTTTCAATCTCTTAGGGGAAAGAGATGTTATGGACAATTAATTATGGTATGATTAGTGAGAAAATGAAGTGTGTAGGCAGTACTGTGGGAGCAGAGGAAGTAAGCTCTCAGTGCCTGGGGATTTGGGGACCTTGCCACAGAAGAGGATGTATTGAGTGATATCAGAAGGATAAAAGCAATTTTTTCCAGGCAGAGAGGGCATTCCACAAAGAGGGAATAATATCCTTATGTGCAAAGTCATGAAGTTGTGAAAGAGTGTGACCAGTTTGGATAATAACAAACACTGCAGAACAGCAGGGCACTCATGAGATAATGGTCAGAAGTTTAGATTCCATCTTTTTAATGGGCACTGGAGCACGTATTTCTTCCAGCTACAATGTTCCTCAAGATGAATTCCTTGTAAACACTAAAATTATAAGAGAATTGAGTAGGTTATTTGAGGGTGATAGCCAGTTCAAGGAATCTAGTAAATTGGTCAGATCATTTAAAAAAGGTTTTTCACTGTGTATTTTCAAAATGTTCAGAAAGACAGCTAACATTATATGATTACAATTTTTAAAATGTTTTAATATATTTTTCAGGAACCACTTGGGATAAATGAGCCTCCACATTTGGTATGTTTAAAAATGTTCTTCAGTTGTAATTGCTAAATTGTTTACTGAAAGAATTTATACCCTTTCTTCCAAATCTTTCTCTTTCCCACAGATAACTTTTGTGTGTCTATAGCAGAGTAGATTGTGTTGTTCTTGGTACCTGTGAGCAGAAGAGCACCCATCATTTTTTTTTTTTTTTTTTTTGTCTTTTTTCGTGACCGGCAACGGATCGCAACCCTCAGTGTCGTGCCCGCACCGGACCGGGACCGGCAACGGGATCGCAACCCTCGGTGTTGCTCCCGCACCTCGCTCAGCCAGTGAGCGGCCGGTCTGTATGTGGGATCCGAACCCTCGGCGCGAGCGCCACCACGCTCCCAAGCGGCACACTGTAGCAGTGCGCCACTGGGCCGGCCCAGAGCACCCATCTTTGTTAGTGGTTGTATTGGCCTGGATTTCTCATAGTTCCTTTATTTTCCCCTGACAGTGTTACAGCTCTGACCACTTTAGGGTCATTTTGAACTCGTGCCACTCTTTCTTTCCTATTGCCCTAAAATTCTTTCTTCAGAGTCACAGTCTTAATCAGCACAGTATATTATACTTTCTCTGGAGCAGTAAACTTAACTATGGAGAAATCACTATCTTGGCAGGTTTATTATGTATGTGTACAACTATTTCTAATACTTATGTCAAATGTTTCTTAAAAGAGCTAGTGGGGTTGAAACCCTTCTTTTTTATTTCTACTGTGTTAATGGTTTAGAGGGGATTGGGCAATACTCTGGAATCTAATGTTTGTTTGTTGTCTGTTGAGGCCTAGAAATTGTTCCATTTTAATACTTCTGCTAACTTGGTGAGATGAGTGTTAATACTGTTTATAGATAAGAAAACCAAGATTCAGAATTTAAGTGCCATATCACACAACTAGAAATAGCAAAATAGACATTTTCTAGTGTATCTGACTCAACTTTACACAACCACATTTTTGGGATTTTTACATCAAAGATAGACATGTCATGATATGAGCAGTACAAATGTAGGTAAAAGGGGATGAGAGACATTGCTTTCTTTTAAATAACAAATTCAGAAAAATTCCTGTGAAAAAGCCAAGTATAGTGACTAATCTTAAATTTTTGGCATTTGCTACCTTTACCTAATGCTACATCTTTTTCTCTGAATGTGTATGTTATTCATATGCATGTCAGGGTTTATGTATTTCAGATCAGCTTAGTTTAACATGTTTCCGTTCACAGTGCTTTCAGTTTTTATGTTCTGATTAGTTCAGGCCTACTGGGAACATTTCCTTTCTGAATATAATTGAGTTGTTGTATTAAGACACACTTCCTGCCAGATCTTTATTTTGAATTTTTGAAAACTCTCACCTGTGGATTTTTAAGGTACTTTTCCACATGAATCAAAGTAGTATGAATGGATAAAAGAGTTAAAGAGGAATAATTTCAAACTGCACATTTTCTGAGTTTTAAGTACAGATAAAAAGTCTCATTCTTTTAAGCTTTGTTTCTCCTCCCTGTTATTTCTTTATGGACTTCCTTGTTTGGGGCACATTGCTCGGAAGGTTTTCTTTGTAGTATTTCTAGTCTAACTTGAAGAGAGAGGAAGCAGCAGTAAACACCCAGTGAAATCAGCCCTGCCTCATTTTTCTGGATATGGCTCAGTTACTGCCTTGTGAAATAAATGTTTCTGACAGATATATGATAGCTGGGCAGCAGTAAACACCCAGTGAAATCAGCCCTGCCTCATTTTTCTGGATATGGCTCAGTTACTGTCTTGTGAAATAAATGTTTCTGACAGATATATGATAGCTGGATATTTGGTAACATACAAACAAACCTTTTTCTTTTAGTATCAAAGCTTTTATTGTTTTCAGTGGACCGAATTTTCAGACATTTTTCTTGTTTATATTTACCTAAACATAAACAAGTGGATCATGGCTGACACACTGGTTTCATTCAGTAATTACAAAGTATTTTCTCCTTCACAATTAGCTATGACAGTCAGATTGGCAATACAGATGCTGCGTTCAGGTGGCATAGGCACTTTTCCTGTCTGAGGAGTAAGGAGGAGGTTACATCTCAGAGTTTAAGTCAGAAAGGGAATTTTTTTTATGCTGGTGATTTTAAGGGGAACCTCAAGCAACCTAATAGGGGAAAAGCCAGAAAATGTGTGTGTGTAGGGATTAGTGTACATCACAAAAATTATCATGATAAAATATTATTGCTGAGATATGTCTTATTTGGGATACTAATAGAACACCACCTTTTATTGAGATTATTTTTCTCCTGAGGCTACAGATCAGTCACTAAGTCTAAATTACTAACTCAAGATACGTAGGGTCGTTATAGACTTCTTCCTCATTAGCAGATAGTATTCTATTTTGTTTTTATTTTTTTTCCCAAGTGAAACAAAAACGAAACAGAATGTTATCATCTTTCTCTTAGCAAGTCCTGACTTATCAGAAATCTCACTAGATTAAATCTTATACAAGTGAACTTAGTTTTCAGGCGATGTTGTAGTCAAGCACCGTTCTCTAGAAATTCTAACCAGTTCCCCACTTTGACCCAACCCAGTACTTTGCATTCCTGTAATCTTTTTCAAGTTTATTTGCAAGTACACTTAAAAGTTTGGATTTCTTAAATATTTAGCCTCTGTTCCATTTTATACATGATTCTAGCCAAGAAAAGCAACTGGATGTTTTCTAATACTGGGTAATTTAGCCTCAATAAATTTTAAAGTGATCGCAGGATCTGTATAGTTGTAGTTACTGGGTTACCTATCTGAGTTGTTTTGTGCATTTATCCTCCATTAATCTGGAAGGGAAACTGACATAGTGATTTATCCACCTAGTTTTTCCCAGACTTAATTTCACCAAGGCACTGTCATTTAATTTGAACAAGAGTAGAAACTACAATTGAAATATTAGTCGTAGTAAGCACAGAGTTGGTTTCTGTATGGCCCATTCTCAAGACATTATTGTGAGAATACTTCAATTCTGAGGCATTTATATGGTGACCAAAATGAGGTGTTACTTTTGTGGGATTGGTCTAATTTTGGGTGAACCATATACTATACATCATTTGGGGGGTAAAAGTAAAATAAAGTCAGATAAGCATTAAACCCAGTTTTTTAAAGTTTGGACAAAGAACATTTAAACCTGTCAAATCAAAAAAGATACTTTATACAGGTTTTGTGTGTGTCTGAATTTTAATTAATTCTGGATATGAAGGCTAAGAGTGAAAACTAGATGTGGCTCCTATATACTCCATCTGAAGTATGCTTAGCTTGCATTGTCAGTAGTCCAGGATTTGACATTTCACAGTGAAATGTTCAAGTGTAAATTTTAAACTCAGCAATATAAAATAAACTAATTCAGGAAACTGAGAATAAAGGTAGTGAACAAGACAGTTGTGGTCTCTGGTCTTGTGTGGCTTTCCCAGTTTGTATTGTGAATTAAGATATATGCATGCAAAAGAAATTTCTCTACATTTTTGGAAATTAAAAGTGATTTGCTTTTTAAGCCTCATGTTTTATAAACCTGTAAGTTAAAAAACAAAAGTCTTGTTTTGGACTTCCTTTTTCTTGCTATCCTCTGTATCTGTCATGTGGCCCGTGACAGAACCTTGCTGGATCACATCTCCCTAAGGCAGAGAGGGAGTCCCTTGATGTTTTCAAGCTCCAAATTCAGTGTGGTTTCACAATAAGAAGTCATGTTGTGCGAGCCACAGTTGTTCAGGGAGGAATTGGTTTTCTCACCTCCCTGGTTTTGTCTGATCTTTGTTATCAGACCAAACAAGGTCAGAGCAGAATGAGATAACCAAGAGACAATTCCTCTAAGAGGACCCTTGGGAAGATGAAGTTCTCGATGACAGCATGAGCTGGAGAAAGGGTGATGCTACAAAAGTTCATTATGATGCATTCTTTGCTACAGTGCAGGCCTGTCAGTGCAGGGTAGACCTGTGTGCTGTGTTATTCCAAGTCTCCAGTGTATTAGGATGTATTTGCAGGGCTCACTATTTTTTTCTTTCCTATTATTGATCCACGGCCACTAGAGTTGCAGATTATCATAGGACTAAAGGACTAAAGTAGTAATGTAGTTGTGTATAACTATAAGCTGTACATTTAAAGTATTCTGATAAGAAAACTGAAGCCTGTAAGCTGAAATACATGACATAGATGCCTGTCTTTCTTTACCATAAATCTTCCACTAATCCCGTCATTATTATCTTCTCTGCCATCTGCTCCGAGGCTCTCACAGGCACTCCCCTGCTCACTTAATGGGCATGCACTCACGTTCTCTTCTCTCTTTTATTAACTGTGGATCAGGAAGACTTGAGGAGAGAGAAAGGGCATACCAGCTATCTGCCACACTAATCCAGGCCTCTTTCCTGTTTAGCACTAAATTGCTTCTTACTTTATACATCTACTCTCACCATAGAGGATAATAATTGTTTGATGTAGTAGACAAGGACCACATTTTAGTGGAGAAGAGATTCTGTTTTATAGATAGAGTTGTTTTCTATGCCTCTGTGCTCACAGTTTTGTACAGGATATGATGAAAATGGTAAATAAAGGGTGAGTTGTTTTCTATGCCTCTGTGCTCACAGTTTTGTACAGGATATGATGAAAATGGTAAATAACATTCCATTGCTGAAAGTGTGTGAGAAAAAGTGAGTTTAAGGAGAATATCCCCCTTACATGAATTCATTGATAATGAATGGATAAAATGTGAGTCTAATTTGTTGCTGAATTTTTTACAGGCACATGAAATTAAGGGTTTTTATTTCCTTTTGATGATGTCAAACTGTTGTTTTCTATTTAATTATTGTCTTGTTGTAGCTCAAAGCATTCAGTAAACCAGGCTTCCAGGGTGAATGTATAGATTTTACAAAGGACATTTCTGATTTGACTTCATTCACGCCATGTTCTTTTAAAGTTCTTCGGGGTTGGTAAGTATACTTGTTGAGTGTTTTCAGCTTTTATTTAATAACTAAATTTAGTTTAAATTTACAGAGATTTGATTTTTTTTTCATATACAGTGAATTTAAAAATTTTTTTTGAGCATTAGTCAACTGCCAATTAACCTGTATTCATTTTGCTGAATTTGTATTTTGAATCATTATGAAATACAGAAAAACAATGCTTATTAGCCAACTTTGGGAGCATTTTAATGATTTTGTTTCTCACTATTAGATTATTTCCTAAATATTTGAATGTTTATATTCTATGTTGACTGTATAGCATAATAGAACGCTATAAGAAACAGCTAGTATTTTTGCCCATGTAAGACATATTACTCCTAAATTCTTTTTTTTTTTTTTTTTTTTTTTTTTTTACCATTTTGTTTGAAGTATTTATTATCCCCATTTCACAGATGAGGAAATCAGATTTATCAGTAAGGTTTCCCAAGATCATACACTGAATGTCAGACTCAGGATTACTTTGGTTTTTTTTTTAACTTTAAATTGTATATTCTTTTAACTGCATCAACATACTGGACCTTTCTCACATAGGTATGAAACTGTATGTGATTCTTAATGCTAACATATATTCTACTTTTTAAAAAATTGTGGTGAAATACACATAACATAAAATTTACCATTTTAACCATTTTTAAGTGGGTGACATCTCTGTGTATCAAATATCTACCTGATGACTCATCAAAGTCTCTTTAATATCAAAGTCTTCAAAATATCTTGAATTTGTCAGTTCTTCTCCCTTCTCTCTTAAGCCATCAGAGACCTGGATCTCCTATTTTTCACTTAAGGAACTTCAGTCTCCAGATTACTCCCTGCCCCAGTGTCATCTTATTTTCAGGGTTTACCACAGACCAACCATAGCCCAATTATTGGTCCCAAAATCCAGTGTAATATTTTTACAAATCTGTTGTAATTCTCACAGTCATTCCCTAGTACCAGTCAGATGAAGTTCACAACCATAGCCCAATTATTGGTCCCAAAATCCAGTGTAATATTTTTACAAATCTGTTGTAATTCCCACAGTCATTCCCTAGTACCAGTCAGATGAAGTTCACACTTCTTCAGGCTTTACTACCAGCTAGCCTCATTTTCCCAATCCATTCACCATTCTAGTCTTATGCTGTCCCCTGTACTCTCCTCTTCCAACATATACACAGCCATTTGTTTTCCTCCTTCCTCTTTATCCCAAGGGTTGGCAAAAATTTTCTGTAAAGGGCCAGCAGTAAATATTATCGACTATGTGGGTGCTACATGTTCTGTCGCAGCTACTTAGCACTGTCATTGTAGCACAAAGGCAGCCATAGACAATACATAAATGAATAGGCACAGCTGTATCTCAGTGAAACTTTATTTATGGACATTGAAATTTGAGTTGTATGTACTATCTCCATGTTATGAAGTAGTTTAAAAAAATTTTTTAAACCATTTAAAAAATGTAAAAACCTGTCTTAGCTTGTAGTCTGAATGGAAACAGGCAGAGGAGCGGTTTGGGCCTGCAGGCTAGCATTTGCTAATCCTGCTCTCTACCAAAGGGTGTCGGTCTCTGGTAAATCTGACCAACAGATATTATTTGTTTGGCCTACATGCTATATTAAAAAATATTTCCTATTGATTCTTAAGTTTAGATTATATTTCAGAAGAACCTGTTTCCCACCTTCTCCTTAAAAATCAGATTTGAAGAATTCGGGAAAGTTTGCCTTTGGCAGTAATGAGCTGATACTGAATAGATGGCATGTGTGCTCCCCAGTGTGCCATGGTCACTACCATTCCCAATTTTTTTCACTGATCATTTGCCTTATCTGTCTTGTCTGCTGCAGATGTGCAAGTTTGGGAACCCTGCTTAATACTACCCTGAACATATCCTTTAAGATTCGGTCCATCCCATTCCCTCAGTTGACCTTGATTAACCCTAATTCAAGCATTCCTTTCCCTTTCATGTTTCCTATAGCTCTTCTGCTTTGAATCTCTCTGTATTTGTTACTCTTTTTATACTTACTTCTAAAAAGAATATTAGAGTTTTGCAGTATTAAAACACATAAAACGGCACTATAAGTTAAATAGTTTATTTGCAACTCTTTAGTAAGAATATGTACTAAGGATCTGAGATAATTTTGTTACTCTTATTTGGCTCTCAGTTTCTTCTCTGATAAGATAAGAGAAAATATTTTGCAAGATGTATTTTTGTTTGCTAATAAACAGAAGCATTGAAGTGTTTCTGGAGGAAAGTTTTTTTCCTGACACTGAGGTCTAGGACAAATTAGTCACACATGTCTCTTCATGTAGGAAATATACAACTACAGTTTAATAAAAGGATACAAGAACCATGACAATTATGTAAGTACCTGGAATGCTTGAGAGACCTGGATTTGAGCCCAGTTCCACCACTTCCTAGCTGTGTAACCTTAGGCAAAATTTGGTCATGTCTCTGAACCTTAGCTTCCTCATCTGTAAAGGAAGGATAATAATAGTACCTACCTCAAAGGATTCTTATAAGGACTAAATAAAATAATGCACATGAAGGGCTTAGCTCCATGCCTGGCAAATTAAAAACCTATGATGAATGTTGGCTGTAAAATGCTGATTACACAGAAGATGTGACAGTAAATTATAATGTCACAGAGTATTTCTATGGTTATCTGAAGTTAACCTGCTCTAGCTTGAGTACAGTCCTGGTGATCTTAAAATATAGGGCTAGAACTTAAGCACACGCAAACTAAATTAGTAATGGCCAATTCTTTTCTCCCTCGGGCTCCTTCTTTTCAAAAGTACGCATTTTAACCAAACTTTTGACAAGTGTTATATTGAAGATAACTCAACTATTGAAGATTCTAAAGGATTTGCTTCTTTTTTCACACGCAAACTAAATTAGTAATGGCCAATTCTTTTCTCCCTCGGGCTCCTTCTTTTCAAAAATACGCATTTTAACCAAACTTTTGACAAGTGTTATATTGAAGATAACTCAACTATTGAAGATTCTAAAGGATTTGCTTCTTTTTAAAAATTTCCTTTAGCTATCAGATGTGCAGGTAACAGATTTTATATGCTCTTGTGTGATTTTAGAAGTTGAGCTTCTATACTCACCTATACTGAATACAAGCTCATTACTAAATAAGGATACAGAAAAATTTTTGTTTTCCTCAAAAGTAACTTCTAATCTGTTCACGTACTTAATAATCACCATAATTTGATCCCATGGTTTTGTACTTGAAGGAAGTAAATGAAAAGAAGGAGGTATGTTTCTAACTCAGAATTATTGAGGACACAGTAAAATAATACATGTAAAGTACCTAGACTAATGCCTGGCACATGGTAAGCAGTCCATAAATGATAGTGGTAGCTGTTTTTTTAGCTGGTGCTAGTCAGCACCACGACTTTCTGTCCTACCCCAGCCCCAGTTCCCACAGCACGATGATGAGCCTACACTGCCAACTGAATTGCAATTTGACTGAGTGTCTTACTGCTTGTTTTTAGCTGGCTGCTGTATTACCAGGAGGACATTTTTTATAATCAGTGTGTATTAGAAGAAGGCCTTTATGCTGACCTTACTTCCTGTGGCTGCCCAACATCTAGAGTCAAATCCCTCAAGCCCATTGACTATGTAAGTACTTTGCTGAGTGCATATTTATGAGAATCTTTTTCTTGTTCAGTTTAATTACCACAGGTGATAATATAAAATTGAAAGAAATGATGCAATGGAAAATATCAAAATATCAAAAATATTAATAGTTTACTTGTTGTTTGTAAAATTGAGATTCACTCATGAAATGCAACCCAAATTTAAGATTGATATTTGCCTTTTTTTTTTTAAAGCAAGAATGCAAAACTCAAAAACTAAATTAATGTAGGCCGGGGCTTAAATTGTAGTCTGATACTTTAACTAGTTTGGGTGACATTAGCAAAGTTACTCAGTTTCCTCATCTATAAAAAATAATAGTACTTTATAAGGCCACTGGGATATTAAATGAGATGATACTTGTAAAATGCCCAGCACGTAGTGAGAACTCAGTCAATGTTAGCAATTAGTACCATGGTTGTTATTTGTTACAGCTGCTTAAATATAAAAATAACCTGCCCACCTTATTTTTCTATTAGATAAGTCACACACCAATTTGTCTGCTACTCAGGTTTATAATGTGACTTTAAGGCATGGATGACCACTGGTATTGTTTCCAAACCTTGTTTTGAGGAACCAGGGCTTTTCTGCCTGGTGTGTGCAGAATTATCTGGGTCAGCTTGGCGCCTCACGTTTAGAGTTAAGTAAGTTCTTTCCAACAAATTTATTCAGAATTTTAAATGTGAGAAAAATAGGATCACTACCTTGGGTCATCAGTTTTGGGCTCCTGGTCGATAAGGTCTATGTGCAAGAATTGGTGAGGATTTGGGATATTTTCAAGCTGTCTAGTTATGATGATTCCCTAGGGACATGTTTGGTCAAAACTTGAGATTTACATAGCTTGATTGGAAGCTCCACATAATAGTAGGAGTGACTCAGACCTTTTGGCCAGAGCTGACTCCAAGGGTAATGGACATACTCGGGATCTTTGATCTCAGTCTAAGCAATGTGGTCCTATTTCACAAGGCATTCCTGGATAGAGTATTCCTGGTATGAGGCTAAGAATAGAGTCTTGGCTGTGGATCGAGAGTAAAAATAGAGTTCTTGGTCTCTCGCAGTGGTCCTGTAGATACCTACTTGGAAAGATTAAGTTGCTGCTGATGCTTCCTTTCTGCTGGAGGAACACTGGTTTTAAAAAAGAATATAGTCTGGTCAGTCTCTGCATGTTGCAGGTTTTGATAATATCGAAAACGGCATAGGAAAGTAATCCACATTTACTGGGAAAGGAATTTTTTCTTAGTAATTTTTAGTGGTCAAATAACAGACATACTTATTTTGTGTTAACTCTAAAATCAAAAGATATAAATCTGAATATGAAAATACCATCTTTAAAGAATTTCGCAGGTCTCTTAATTCAGTGAACTAAACCAACTAAATTTCTAAGGAGGACATTTTAGAAACAGGGTCAGAATTAATGAGTATTACTATTTTTCTTTGAAGAGTTAACAATTCTTTTATATTCATGAAGTGGAAAATGAGAGATTAAAATTGGGTGTGAAGGGCCGGCCCGGTGGCGCACTGGAGAGTGCGCCGCTTGGGAGCGTGGCGGCGCTCCCGCCGAGGGTTCGGATCCCATGTGGTGACCGGTTCCCGCTCACTGGATGAGCGAGGTGCGGGCGCGACACCGAGGGTTGCGATCCCGTTACCAGCCAGTAAAAAAGACAAAAAGGAAAAAAAAAAAAAATTGGGTGTGAAAATATGCGAAGAGAAAGAGATGTTTTTCTGTAAGTTGTCATGTGCAGTTAGTTGCATGTCCCTGGTTTTGGTCCTGTGGAATCCAGCCAGCGTGAAGGTGCCTGTTGGGAAAGACTTTGAAGGCTTTTCACTCCAAAAACCAGTTAAGGGGTATATTCAGTTTATGTAAGGGCAGCGCATTTACATAATGCCTTTCCTTAATGCCTTTTCATGCTACATTTTAAATCTTTGAAAAGTCTTTGTTGAAGACATATTTGGGCAGAAGGTTTGGTGTTGAAATAAAAGGAGTATGAGGTAATGTTGGGCATCCCAGCAAGATTTGTGAATTGACCATAAAGAGGCCTCAACAGGTAGCATTACCTTGGTGAAGCCAACCACGCTTCACTCTGGAGGCCCAAAGCCCTGAACTGATCAGACCTACAGGGACTGATATGTAACCAGAAGATCAATTTAGTAATTGGTACTAAGTGGGATCTAGTGACTGGAATGCTTGAGAATTTTGTCTTGGACTTTTTTTTTTTTTTTCCTTTTTGTCTTTTTTCGTGTCCGGCAACGGATCGCAACCCTCAGTGTCGCGCCTGTACTGGACCAGGACCGGCAACGGAATTGCAACCCTCGGTGTCGCGCCCGCACCTCGCTCAGCCAGTGAGCGGGAACCGGTCTGTATGTGGGATCCGAACCCTTGGCGGGAGCGCCACCGCGCTCCCAAGCGGCACACTGTAGCAGTGCGCCACCTGGCCGGCCCTGTCTTGGACTTTTTTTATGTCTCTGGAAGAACATGGGAAACTGAATTAGTCATCAGAAGGTTATTTATTACACATAAGATTTGGGTAAAATAGGCTAGATATGTGAAGATTAGTTTACCTAGGCTAACATTCCCCAGAGAAGAGATTCCTTCTACTCTCCACGTCCTAGTAGCTCACATAAATTTGCATAATCATCTAGGAGAGGAGGCAAATCAAACAAAATTTTATTTAATTTTCTGTATTATTTGTTGTTGTTTATTTTTTTATTTTAATTTTTTTTCCTTTTTGTCTTTTTTTGTGTCCGGCAACGGATCGCAACCCTGTGTCGCGCCTGTACCGGACCAGGACCGGCAATGGAATTGCAACCCTCGGTGTCGCGCCCGCACCTCGCTCAGCCAGTGAGCGGGAACCGGTCTGTATGTGGGATCCGAACCCTTGGCGGGAGCGCCACCGCGCTCCCAAGCGGCACACTGTAGCAGTGCGCCACCTGGCCGGCCCTGTCTTGGACTTTTTTTATGTCTCTGGAAGAACATGGGAAACTGAATTAGTCATCAGAAGGTTATTTATTACACATAAGATTTGGGTAAAATAAGCTAGATATGTGAAGATTAGTTTACCTAGGCTAACATTCCCCAGAGAAGAGATTCCTTCTACTCTCCACGTCCTAGTAGCTCACATCTGAAAGAGCAACAAGATGACAAAAAGACCAAAAATGATGATTTGGGCATGAATGTAGGGTTCTATGAATGAAAAACACAACTCATTAGTGATTTTAGAGAAGAAAATTTAAAGGTATTCTATTACTTTGATCAAAGAAAAAAGATTTAAGGTGGCTGAATTTTTTTATATAGTATTGCTAATGCTGAACAATGACAGCATTGCTGAATATATTTATTCAACCTAAAATATCGAGCACCTACTATGTAACAAATATTGTGCTAAGTACTGAATACAAATAACAAAAAGAATTAGTGAGATTTGTGTCATTAAATCCAAGTGTCATCTTCTTCCTGGCCCTCATGTTTAGATGGTTCCCAGAGATCCATTCTTGGCCTTTTCTCTCTTGTAGTTGGAAATTTCCATTATCATAACTTTAGCTTTCACCTCCATCAAGGTAGATAATTCCCAAATCTTTAGAATAAATAGTAGTCTATTAGTCCCCAAGCTCCATTCCCAGATTCCAAGTATGTCTTCATCAATATGTTCTGCACCCCATTTTCCTTCTTAGACTTGTTTTTTTGTCCTTCATATTTGGATTTATTCTTTTTTTTTAATTCTAATTTTTTTCATTGTAAATGTTTATGGAATACAGTTTGTTTAAATACATGCATACATAATATAATATAATCAGACTAGTTAGCATATCTGTCACCTAGACATTTATTGTTTCTTTGTGGTTATAATGTTCAAGATCCTCTTTCTGGCTATCTTAAATATGTGATAAAATATTATTAGCTGTAGTCACCCGAGGGCACCAGAGCTTATTCTTCCAATCTAACTGTAACTTTGTAATTTTTTTTTTCCCCCTTTTTGTCTTTTTTCGCGTCCGGCAACGGATCGCAACCCTCAGTGTCGCGCCCGTACCGGACTGGGACCGGCGACGGGATCGCAACCCTCGGCGTCACGCTCGCACCTCGCTCAGCCAGTGAGCGGGAACTGGTCTGTATGTGGGATCCGAACCCTCGGCAGGAGCGCTGCCGCGCTTCCAAGCGGTGCACTGTAGCAGTGCGCCACCGGGCCGGCCCGTAACTTTGTAATTTTTTACAAAGTTTTCTTCCACTGTCACCCCTCCCCATCTCCTGCCCTTTCCCTGCCTCTGGTAATCACTATTCTGCTCTTTATTTCTCTCTTTTTAATTTGTTTTTCTTTATTGACCCATAATAATTACATATATTTGTAGAATACAGTATGATATTGTGGTACATTCATATTGTGTACAGTAATCATATTGGGGTGTTTACTATGTCCATCACCTCAAACATTTGTCACTTCTTTGTGTTAGGAACATTCAACATCATCTTGACTAGCTATTCAAAGATACGCAGTACTTTGATATTAACGATAATCTCCCTATATTACTATGGAATCCCAGATCTCATTCTTCCTATCTGTCTGGTATTTTGTATTCACTGACCGCCCTCTTCCCATCACCTTTTCCCCTTCCCCTCACTAGTCTCTAGTAACCACTATTCTACTCTCTACTTCTATGAGAATAACTTTTTTAGCTTCCATGTATGAGTGAGAACGTGGTATTTCTGTCTTGGTGCCTGGCTTATTTTACTTAACATAAATTTCTCCAAAGTTATCCATATTGTTGCAAATGCAAATGGCAGAATTCCATGCTTTTTTATGGCTGAGTAGTATTTCATCGTGTGCATATATACCACATTCTCTTTATCCAGTCATCCATGGAAGGATATTTAGGTTGATTCCAACTCTTGGCTGTTGCGAATAGAGCCAAAATAAACAGACTTAAACAGACTTTTTTTTTTTACTTCCCCATTTCTGTTGAAAGGCATTATTATTGCCTCCATCATCTCGTCT